TGTGTGTGTTCTGCATCCTTTTGACACACTTGGACTGGCCCGTGGCAGAAGCAAGAGCAATCACGCTTCTTGCCTTTGCCACACATGCACCCACCCACCCACATATAAACATTCATGGGCAGATTGAGGCTCTGAGAAACCCTGCATGTGCATATGGTTGTACTCTGCTGGGAGCTGGCCTGGTTTCTCTTTCACCAGCGTCAGGACTTCAGAGGCCAGCAGCTTCAGCTCCAGACTCAAGTCAGAAAGAGATATAGACTAAACCAAAAGGGTCAAGGAGATAAAAGAATGAATGACAAAGTGAAGGAAGAAACATCTACAAGATTGGAGACCAGTGGAAAAACAAATTTGATTAACATATGAGTATTGGATAAAATCAGATAAAATGTTTTCTTCCGCTCTTGTGAAATCTATAGACAGCAGTGGTAATTTGTGTTAGCAGCATAAGGACTTATTAAACAGTCCGTAAAAATGCTGCATACTCCATCGCTAATCAAATTGTGCGGGCATCTACAGTGCACTTGATGTGACAGATTCAATGTTTTGCTCTATGCAAAGTAACCTGCAAGACTAGAAATCAAAGGACGGCCTTCCTCCCTAACTTTTTCAGGAGAAAAATGTGAAAAGAAAAAAACTGAGGTGGTCTTCCTTCCAAATGAAAGGCAAAAAGATAATTGGACAAGTTGTTGAATCTTTTCTAGCCAACAATAGGTGCGTACGAGAGCTTTCTATAGGCCTACTACGACTATCCTATTATTCTGTTGTACCTTTGTCACTAGAAAAGATAACTTAGCAAGGGAGGCTGCTCTAACAGGATCAATCAGTCATTAAAGTATTACATCCTGCTGAGTTTTGTTGTTGCTTTGAGGAATGAGAGCTGTCTGCATGCTCCGAAGTGAAGCAGTGGCACCCACAGCAGCTCTCAATCACGCACTGCAACGCTTTTATTATCAGTATGATTTAGTTCCTAGTGATACGCCGTAAACCTCAGGCTACTGTTAGCTACAACTCTGCTGTCAACAGCAGACTGAACATCATTGTTTGCCACAGAGGCCTCAGTTGCCTTTGTTGATTTTGATACAGTTCTAAATTATTCAAACTTTGACAATCAGAGCGGAACATCAAAGTGCAAGTGCAGCTGAACTTTAGCACAACTGCATCACATATGAGCAATTTAACCCTGAGCTCAGCTTGCTCTAGTGTTTATCTCTTTTGTCTTTGTGTACATTTCAACTAATTCCATCAGTCTTCTTTTTACCAATTTTTTTCCCGAATTAAAAAAAAAAATTAACATTGCATCTGTACAACTAAAGCCAACATTAATCACATTAGTTATACAAGTCAAATGAATCAGGCTTCCATTTAAGATTGGGTCAAAGCTCTGGGCTCATTGCCATGAATGTGGAGCAGTTCCTGAGCAGCATCAGCTGTAGAGCTTTGCCCTGACGGGGGAGCCAGTTATACTTGCGCAGCGCTGTTGCCAGAGGAAGCAGTTTCTTTGATCTGCATCAGCATTTACGTAGGTAATACTATGTGTCAAAGCAGGATATTTCTAAATGAAAAGACTGATTGGACTTATTCTACTTTGCCCAAAGAGGGACTTGAATCATATCCTCACATATAAACATTCTCAGTGGGGTCCTACCCTGTGCAAGGGCATAAAATCTGAATAATTTCATAGATAATTTGGTTGTCACAGCCAGGCAATGGTAATAACAACTTTAGAGAGAGAAAGGGCACAAAGAGAAAGAGAGAGAAGAGTGGAGCGAAGTACCCAAGGCTAATCGCTGTGTCTAAGCCAAAGTGGTGTTTGTTGAGGGAAAAAGCCTATTTTTAAGCTTGATGAAGAAAGGAGGAGTGTTTCTCATTTCCCCTTCTCCTCTTCTTCCAAATCCCTCTTTCCCTTAGTTGTGTCATTTAGCATGACCCTCTGGAAATCACAAAACGTTTAGCATGGTGGCGGGATGACTGCGGCTTAAGCAGTTGTGGCTGAAAGTGTGAAGTCTGCTGCAATAATCGTCAGAATACGTTTGAACACTGTTCAGGAACTGTCTGTCTACCAAACCGCCTGACCGCGTCACCTTTAGCGAGGCATGCCCTGCCGCGGTTTGTGTGTTTGACTGACTCTGAAAATGTGTGCCCTATAAATCATTCAGATTCACTGAGCCAACTCACATCTGTTCACTTTTGTGGATGACACACACACCCCTCTGATAAACAATAATTACTATGCTGCCAAGAACACACACAGATTTCTGGCACCCAAGTCACTGAACCCGTAACAATGAATTCACATGGGACATGGTGTGTTTGGAGCAGTGTTTGTCACTCAGCAGACACAAGTCATTGTCATGTGTGTGACTCACCGAATGCCACCGATTCATACGTCTGTGCATAAACAAACAAAACATCATGAAAAATAAGACCGCACACACAGAGCTAACCCTAAATGTACGATATCATGATTCAGTGATGACACAGAAAAAGACTCTGTGCTGCTACAAAAGACTGTCCATTTGCTCTCATTCCACAAAAAAATAGAGAGCTGCAGTTAGAGCATCCATTTGCATGATTTCTGGCTTCCTGTGTGCTCACTTGTGTACATGTTCAGTGTGCATTTGAGAGGGAAGAAAGAGGCAGTCTTTTCTGTAGTGTCAGTCTTTGATCAGTGGCCCTGTATGTATGTGTGTGTCTGCACATGCGCGCCAATGCCTGGTGTCTTGGAGGCAGATAAAACACTGTGCCTCTATCCGGGGCTCACAGAACACCCACTGTCCTTGTGGGCATCTCCTTTACTCTTACGTTCTGTCTCTGTTTCACCCCTCTAACCACCATTCCTCACCAAAGCCTTTTTAAACACCTCTCACGCAGAGCGGCGCTTTCATGTCACAGCTCTGCCCGTTAACCAGATCCTCTATGTTTTCTCCCCCAACCTTTCATCAAATTGTACCTGATGGTGCCTGGTTGAAGAGGTGTGCTGTTGCTCGCTGGCTCACTCAGAGGGATGCAGCATGAAGGTGCTGTCAAAACATATGTCAAAGTAACACCAGCAATCTTGAGTGCTTTGGTCCTATTTTGTAAGGTTATGCAAAATTGAATTTAATTTCTATCAGTAGCACCATCAGCTTACGCTATAATGTTGAGAAGCGGCTTTCCATTTTCTACATTTTCTTATATCTAATCATTAAAGCAGCACAGATAACTCACAATTGTAACAAAAAATGTAAGTATTACTATGTTATGTAGGCAATGGTAATTACCTAGTTAGATTCATTAATTCACGGAGATTACAGAAAGCATTAGGCAGCTTATTTGTCTCTGGGTTTAATCAATTTTCCGAAATATGCTGTTTATTTGTGACGCTTAAAGAGCAGCACAGTGTCAGTGCTGGCATGGCATGAGGTGCTTTTTGATATGCATGTTGGTCCCCCGCGGTTTTATGGGTCGCCAAGTATTATCCAAAAAAAGGAACATTTTGCTGTGAAAATTAATACCTGTTACTGCAGTGGACTTCCTACATTTCCCTAACTGTATCAAAGACAAACCTTCACTGTTGGTCAAACTTGTGTCCGTGGGTGACCAGGTAACAGGCCAGGAAAAGTTTACATCCTGTTCTTTATTGAGCTGGTTCCTGCCAACTAATAATGAGCTCTCTGCTTCTCCCAAAGTAAAAAAAGAAAATGTTAGGCTTTGCTGGCACAGATTCCCTGCCATCAAGGCTTACAGTTTGAAGATTTTTGTATCCTGTTTCACTGTACATGTAGGTGTAATTGCTACTTTGTTTGCTGTAAAATGTGAGTAAATTACAGTAATTTCTCAGTTTTACTGTTTATCAACCTGCAACTTAATTTCCAAATACACCTGAATTGTGTTTAGGGCAATTCACAAGTTCTAACCTCTCTGATGGGAGTTTCATGCACAATTACAGGTGTTCCCCATTTATCCCAGACCCATGTGCTTCAGCCCAAATGATTTCCTCATTGTTTTTTCACAAGAACATTTGTTCTGCTTTGCTTCTGTTTCTCATAATGCAAGCTGCCTATCTTGTTCCTGCCACATGGTGGCATCTTCCCTCTTTTTGTGTTATATTTTGCTTTGTTTTGATTTTGATTTGTCACAATACTGAAAAGTGATTTGATTTTTTTGCCTTTTGACTGTTTATTTTGTGCAAAATATGTCGCTGATTAATTTTTATGACTTGATTTTATTAAGACTGTGCATTTAGAATAGCAGTTTTACTACAAATAGAAGTTTCAACACTTTGTACACTTAAACTGTGCTGTGTCTGGAACTCAAACAAGCATTCTGTTTTCTTGACCTAACTCAAACCTCAGGAAACTAGTTTTTAATTTATCTGCGGCAGAGAATTAAGTGTATCATTTCTGGGGGTTATTTTGGGTTAGATCAGAAGCTGTCAGTAGTTTAGAAATACTAATTTGGCACATTTCTTACAACTATACTGTCTGTTGGGGTTCAAATCCTAACCTGTTGAGTTCTACATTTACTGTATAGGCTTAAATTCACAAGCTTTCCTGTCTTTAATATAGTGCTAATTAGATGTCCCATTCAAAAAGGATTTGCTTATTATCATCAAAGGCAATATCAGACATTACACAGACAAGTATACTTTTCACTGGTTTATTTCAGTTATTTGAAAATTAATATGTTCACAAAGTTCTTGTCCAACGTCACAAAAGTGGGGGAAAATAGTGTTGGTTTTACCTTTAACCCCAAAACACAAACAAATGTGGTCGGAATTCTATTTAGCTGCTCCGGTTTTAAGATGTTTTGTTCTCAGAATGCCAGAGATGCGCCTGCCAGACAGGATTAGAAGAACCAGATATTAACCTCATCTTTCCTATTTTGTCTCCTCTTTTTTCCTCTTTCTGCACACCTGTCTTCCTTTGCACTCATCATATTTACATAATCCCCTTCCTTACTCTTCTGAATACACTTCACCCCCCTCTTCTGTCACCCATCATTCTTTTCAATAAACAGGTTTTCTCAGTACTGGGGATCAGTCGGCTAAGGGGAATTATGGCCTGCTGGACCAGATTCAGGCCCTGCGGTGGCTCAATGAGAACATTGGACACTTTGGCGGAGACCCAGAGAGGATCACCATCTTCGGCTCTGGAGCCGGAGCCTCCTGTGTCAACCTCCTCATCCTCTCCCACCACTCAGAAGGTAAATTCACTGCTCTGTTGTTGTTGTTTTTTTTTAATGTAGGTACAAAAATGAAAAATGATGGTGCGATAAAATCTCTTCTTTGCTCGTGGGCTGTTTTCTTTTTTTTTTTTCCTGCAGATGTGTTAATCATTAAAATCCTAATGGTTTTTTTTGTTTTTGTTTTTTTTCATTTCCTAATTGCCGGGACCCGTCTATTTTGTATGATACACTTCATTGCTGTTTTTTGCTGTTTACAATCTTCTACCTGAATCCTCTACAGCTTGGATCATGTTACTAATCCCTGAATAATCCATATTTATAAGACCTCCTATAAAATTGAATGGACGTGCAATGCTTGAATTACTTGTGTTGCGTTTGGTCCGGTCTCTAGAATTTTTTTCCCCTTAATTTAATACAAAATGGGATTGTCGCCGAGAAGCCTAAGTGGCATGGAAAAGCAGTTGGCAGCATGAAGCCAAAAATTCGTTATGCCCTGTGATGTTCATTTGACACCTCTATTCCCACAGGAAGAACACTGCTTGTTCTTTGAACTAAAGAATTTAAGCAGCTCTGTGGCTAATGAGCATGTTCAGGCCTGATCCAGGTTGTGTTGCTCGAGTCTTTTGAGGGCAAATGACATAGAAGCTGCAACATTACCCACCATTACCTGCCATAGTGAATGTTTCTGGCTTTTCAGCCTGAAGGCTCTGCCTTCATCAAAATCCCACATCTATGTGACCTCATGCTTCCTATTACCAACTATATACCCTGAGGGCAAACTACTAATATAGCACCACCAAAGGACAGGGGCCTACCTACCAATCGACTTTGATCTAAACGAAGATCTGCTTGGCTGACGATCCTCACCAAATGGTCGTGCTCACCGCCTTTGATCAGGCGGTTCATGTTGCCGTCCTCCGACAGTCATAAGTTTTCTGTTCTTCACACTGCTCGAGGACTCGCCGCGAATGTCTCTCTTCTCTCCATATTTTCCATCTTATACATGAGCCGCAAAGAAGAGAAATAGTGGGTGAAAAGAGAGAGCAAGATCAGTGGAAGCATGTTAAAACAGCTGCACATCTGGTTCAATTACTGCTCTGTGTGTTGAAGTGTGTGTGTCTGAAGCACCAAGCCCAAGTATAATTTTCACTCATTCAGTCTGCATAGATGTGTCTTGAAAAAGCATGAGTGAGCAGTTATGTGTTTCAGCTTTAACTTTATCTGCATTTAACACAACCTCTGTAATTACCACTGATTCCTATTAACCCTTCATTTTAACCCATGAACGTTTCTCTCTTGTTAGCAGGTGAAACACTTAGCATTTAGACTTTTCCTGGCCTCATTTCTTAAATAATATACACTACTGTACAAAAGTCTTGAACCCCTCCTCATTGAAATCCCTTACACATCCCTTTGTCTGTTCTTTATCTTGCACCTGGTCATTTTCAGGGAATTATGTATGTTTATTTGTCTTGCATTATTCAAGCAGAGAAAGGTACTTGACACAAGGCAAGGTTCTGTATTATTTTACACATAATGGTTATCTTAAATTTCATATTGAGGCACTATAGAAACTGCTTGCCACAAGGACATAATTTACTCCTAAAGTCTTGATCAGAAACTATGAAGATACCAATGACAATGAAGTCTCACAGATATAAAAGAAACATTTTTGTGCCAACAAGGTGAGAACTGTGTCTTGAAAACTTTCCATTGTCCTGTGCAGTGTGTTCTTAAGAACTCGATGAGGAGGTGAGAACAAAAGAGGAAAGTCTCGCCTCAGCAACTCTCCGACACACGAACACGATCTGAAGGTTGTGTTCTTAGGCAATGGGTAAATATCCAGGAAAATCTGACACAGGTTGGCAGATAGTTTCTGGACCATTATTTGGTGTCCATGAAAGGATAACTCTCAGGCAGCCGTTCTTAAGAGAAGGAGAAGGCTGAGGTACGCCAAATGATGCAAGTGAATTGAAGATCGGTGGAATCAGGTTAAGGGTTTAATTATTTTCTATGGAAATGATAAGTGATCTTTTCTAGGACAGTTCACACTTTATTTAAATATAGTTACCCAGTATTGGCTCCATATTTTTGCATTGCACCTAGTTCATTTTATTCTGTTTGTCTTGAATGGCAAAATCCCTGTACCTACCTACCTACCTGTAAAATACGAGTGGCTCGAGACTTACAGTTGCAGCATTGCATGCGTTGGACCCAGTGGTCTGCAGTAAAATATATTTTGGTGTGTATATCTTCTTCACACACACGGGAAGAACGACCAACAAGTTCACACCTAATATGTTTATTTTCTAACCTCTGAATAAATCTCCTCAAACATGAATGGAGGTAATTCAGTGAGGGGGAAAAGGCTTGTACGGTTATTTCTGCAGGTCACAAAGTTACAAAGACTTTCCTTAGCTTTGTTTAGGAAGTAGGCATAGACTGTTTGCTTTATTTTGAGTTCAAATTGCACTTAATACACCTCAAAATCTACCTATAGCATTTCTCTATTTGTTAGAGAACATGAGAGGTGTGTTAATTAGGAAGCTTTACAGATATTAACCACAAGCTCTGACATGTGCTTCCACATTGATGCTTAGCATGCTTATCTAGGTCCTAGATAAAACGTATGTGCAAGCATATAGAAACTGTGAATCATTTTGTTTAAACCTAAAGAAATTCATTTTGTCTAATGATCCACTCCCTTTCCACTAATGTGTTGTTTAATTCTTTATCTTAAGAACCTGAACCATTTTGCCAAATTGTAGTTTACTTTTCTTCAGAGGAGTTCGTCTTTAGCAACAGACAGAATCTACAGTTGAGAGCAGCAGTATTAACTCCTAATCTCTTGTCGCTGACAACCCAACACCACCCCATCCCACTGCCACCTGTCCGTTCTCACGTCTCCGCTTTATCATCACGCCATCGTCATCTTCCTCCTCATCAGCATCTAATGGTGTAACATCAGCCTACTTGGCGCTACCTGTCTGTCATGCTCCCTCCCTCCCCCACCACAGACACCAGGTAAGTCTCTCATCCTCATGCTTAGGGGACACCAATCGTGTCAACAACACTGCTTCACAAATCAGTCAGGCAGCAGAAGCTTGGGGGATAGATAAGCGGGATGGAAGCGTCAGACAGGATGGAGGGAGGGGCAACTGGTGATACTCATCTGATGGAGGGCAGAGAACAGAATTCACACACTGGGTTAAGAGGTGCGGAAAGACAAGGAAAGCAGGAAAAGAAAAAATCTGCAGATATTTGCAGAGGTGGAAATGTTAAGAGGAAACGCAGTAGAGGGAGCATGGGAAAATGCTCTGGAGTAAAAACTAATAGAAGAGAAGTAGACAAACTGAGGATTGTACTAAACTAGAAAGCCAAAAAGCACCCGAGGGGGGGTAACAAAGAAACAGATTTTGAAGGTGGATGAAATGTACCAATCTCCCTGTGCTCTCTGCCCGTCTTTCCTTCTTTGTGTCGCTCAGTGCAGAAATGTATGTAGGTGTAGCTGTTTCCTGCTACTTTTTACTGTAATTGATCTCCCAGGGAAAGGAGGCTCTGCGGCTCTGCTAAATAATTAACTGACCAATCTTTAGCCCTGGAGAGGGGAGAAGCGGGAAAAAAGTGTGCGAAAGGAAACAAGTGAGGCAGGCAGCCCCTTAACGAGCCACTTGAGTGGTTTAAGCAGCACAGGACAGGCAGAGCTAAAGATACAGGGAGAGACGAAGAGGGTGGGAGCAAGGGAGGCATAAAGCTAGACTGGGGCTGAAAGAAGAGGCAGGAAAATGTATCTTTTGACATCTCAGAAGAGGTTATTCCCAATTCTGCTTCTAAATGTTCAGACTAAAGTCCCATAGCATGCTTTGTCAGGGATGCTTTGAGTCTTTCGTTCATCCCATGTCTGCACTGGCTTTTTTAGTGACAAAGATTAGCTAGCAAATCCAAACTGGCAATATTTTTGATGTACTGGAATCAAGCCCGGACAGAAAGAGACTTGGAGCTCACAAAAATTATGAGGTCCAATTTTCCAACAATGTGGATTTGTACCACATTTTTATACTGGCAGCGATGCCCTTTATTCACATCCCTCTGTCTTTCCAGGTCTTTTCCACAGGGCCATAGCTCAGAGTGGTACGGCCATTTCCAGTTGGTCCGTCAACTACCAGCCCCTCAAGTACACCAAGATCCTGGCTCGGAAGGTGGGCTGCACCTACCCAGAGACGGCAGACCTTGTTGACTGCCTGAGACGCAAGACTTTCAGGGAACTGGTGGACCAGGACATCCAGCCAGCCCGCTACCACATTGCCTTTGGCCCTGTGGTGGACGGAGACGTGGTACCTGATGACCCTGAGATCCTCATGCAGCAGGTTAGGGTTTCCATGTTAGGTCCAGCAAAGATCACGTCTCGGCTCTTGATCTTTGCTGAATTTTCTAGGAAAGATGTAACAGTGGCGTATATCTGCAGCTGTGAGCCTGTTCCACAGTGCATCAAAAGAGCAAAAAATAATAACGACAACATCATTATCGTTGAACATCCTTTTAAGTCACATTGAGAATTATTAGAGACCATAGACATGCTGGTAGAACACACAGAATAAACTGAGCATGAAAACACATGATGATAAAAGCCTCATAAGAACCATTTGTTGGTAGAAACACATGATACTATTAACATTTACAGTTATTGATGGTATTGCTAATTTAATTGTAAATTGGATTAAACTCCAAGAACAAATGTGCAGTGCTACGGCCATCTTAATTTCAGCCTTTCGTTTGTTCTTTCCTTCTTGCACCACCAGGGGGAGTTCCTCAACTATGACATCCTGATAGGGGTGAACCAAGGAGAGGGGCTGAAGTTTGTGGATGACAGCGAGGACAATGATGGCATCTCCGCTGCAGCCTTTGACTACACCATCTCAAATTTTGTAGACAACCTCTACGGATATCCCGAGGGTGAGGGACACAAACTCCATCTGCCAGTCTCCAAAGCTTCTCCTTGATTTAAGATGACAGGGTTCTACACAAAAAGGCTGAAAATCAAGTAGGAGCTGTATAGGTGTATGTTTTTTGTCATAAACACAGCTCATGATGTATTTACACCCTTTCAACAACAACAATATAAGCACCAGCTCCCTGTGGAAATGCAACCCTTTAAAACATTATGTGGGCAAAAAACTGGTGTAAATAAAATGTGAGTTCGATGAAGTATAACAGCCAAGACAAGCATACTAAAGAGATTTCCTATCATGGAGATTATCTCTCACCGCGGTAGGCCTGTGCTTTGGCCTTTGGGGCTCTGTGGGCACTAATGCTGTCGCTCATCAGCCCCCAGGCAGCCAGTTCCCAATCACAGCACTGTTGTTCCTAACAGATCAGCCTGCAAACCCCTCGCAGCAGGCTACAGTCAAAATACAGACAAGTTTGAATAATGCAGTCACGCTTCCTCTCAAGTGCTTGTCAGTCATTGCGATATTAGAGAGGCAAATTCCCTTAAGCTCTTTGTGTTGCTCAGTCTGTTCTCGTTATATATCCCCCATCTATAACTACACAGATCCGTACTTTTTCACTTCTGTCTTTCTGCCCTTTTTTTGTCCATCTTTCTGTACCCATAACTTATGACGATTTTCTCCATTTCATCTCTTGTTCTTCTCTAGGCAAAGACATCCTGAGGGAGACAATTAAGTTCATGTACACAGACTGGGCAGACAGGGATAATGGCGACATGCGAAGAAAGACTCTGCTAGCTCTGTTTACAGACCACCAGTGGGTGGCACCAGCAGTGGCCACTGCCAAACTTCATGCTGAATTTCAGTCTCCGGTTTATTTTTATACCTTTTACCACCACTGCCAAACAGAGACCCGGCCGGAATGGGCTGATGCCGCCCACGGGGATGAAATACCATATGTGTTTGGAGTGCCCATGATCGGTGCCACAGACCTCTTTCCATGCAACTTCTCAAAGAATGATGTGATGTTGAGTGCTGTAGTGATGACTTACTGGACCAACTTCGCAAAAACTGGGTAAGCCTCATTTCAGATTCTCCCATCTTTTAAATGGTTCACACACTTTTTAGGTGCAAGTAATAAGTAATCCTGCCAGTGTTAGGGTGACTTTTAGAACTTTTCAGGAAAGTTGTCTTAATTGAATTTTAGCAAGTTCTCAGTTTACTTTTTAAAAATTGGATTAAACTATTCATACTTTTGAATTTTAATGTGAACTCATTTTACATTAAGCATATGTAATGAGTTCTCTCTGTGCTTCACCAGTGACCCCAACCTGCCAGTCCCTCAGGACACCAAGTTCATTCACACCAAGCCAAATCGCTTTGAAGAGGTCATCTGGACCAAATTCAATTCAAAGGACAAGCAGTATCTCCACATCGGCTTAAAACCGCGTGTTAGAGACAATTACAGGGCCAACAAGGTGGCCTTCTGGCTGGAATTAGTCCCCCATCTTCACAGTCTACATGAGGTCTTCCCCACCACCACCCGCTTGCCACCAGGCCCTGGCCCAGGCACCCTCAGACCCTGGCCCAAAACTCCAGGTCCTCGCACCACTCGTCACCCCTACCCAACCTTTCCCTCGGAGCCTGAGCCTGAGGGGTCAGAACGCCCGCACCAGGACCTCTTTCCAGGAGACACCCGTGACTACTCCACCGAGCTGAGCGTGACGGTTGCTGTGGGAGCTTCGCTGCTCTTCCTCAACATCTTGGCATTTGCTGCCCTTTACTACAAGCGTGACAAGCGGCACGAGATGCGCCGGCATCGGCTGTCCCCTCAGCGGGGCGGCCCCGCCAACGACCTGGCTCACAGCCAGGAGGAGGAGATCATGTCGCTGCAGATGAAGCACTCGGAGCACGATGCTCACCACGACATGGAGCCCCTCCGGCCCCACGACATTCTAAGACCTGCCTGCCCACCCGACTACACTTTGGCGCTGCGCCGCGCCCCTGATGATGTTCCGCTGATGACACCAAACACCATCACCATGATCCCCAGCACCATCACCAGCATGCAGCCTCTTCATGCCTTTAACACTTTCCCCTCCACCGGCCACAACAACACGTTGCCCCACCCCCACTCCACCACCAGGGTATAGTAGGGACTCTGTTTCAGCGCCACCTAAAGACCAGGAATACTGGATCTCCTTCTGATCTAGACAGAAGGCCACTAGATGTGGGCCTTCACTCTGTTCTGTTATTCTCTCGTATCTCCAAAAGCAAGTCCATTACCTCCATTGTGGGCTGTGCAGCTTAGCAGCTCCCTCCGCTGGTGGTATGGAGACACAAGCAGACTGCACGGGAGCGGACGATGAGTTTGATACTGACTTGAATCTTTCAAACTACTGTTTTCAAGGGTCCGCTGTTTCCAAACTAATGGCCCCAAAAAAAGTTAAAGGGACAAATGCTCATTTGCCCCGTGTTTTATCGCTTTTTGTGTTTTTTGGATGTCATCTCTTTCAGTCTCCCTCTGGTGTGTTATGTGCTCTTTTTTTTCACATCCGTGTCTTACTTTTGTTGCTTTTTTTCTCTCATTTGACATGTAACTCTCTACCTTTGCAACCCTGCATTGCTCTAAGGAGTCCCAGAGTTCTGGGCTGGAGCAGGTCTGTGGCACACACAGGAGTCACAAAGCTGTGAACACACTAATAACTGATATCTCATTCTACCAGCATTCCTGGTGCCAAGTAAGTATTACTAAGTTTGCTTTCTCTTTACGGGAGAAGAAAATCCCAGTGTCCCTATTTGCTAGGTTGCGCAGTCTAAAAGTGCCAAACTGGCCCTCAATTGAGTTTTTCTTGTTTTCATCAATTGTTGTTTTATTGTAAAACCATTTTTTGCTGAAAATATAGATATAGAGAAATTATATATACATAGTTCTATATAAATGTGTACAAAGGAGAAAGTATATAAGTGGGTTTTCTCAGAGGGGATCTATGCATGAATTATTTTTAAGAGATGAAGACGGGGGGAATGTGTGTGTGTGTGGGGGCGGGGTGGGGGGGCAGGTTGGGGGAATCTGTTAAAGCACATTTCCCTAATCATATCAAATCTTAGCTATCCACTAAAATATTTTGATATTTTCCTTTCACATCTTAGAATTCTCACTGAAGTTCCCCAAGTCAGTTAGAAAGAAATCACCGATGCCTTCCTGCAGTCATATTTTCCAAAAGAGTCATTGTCCCAAATTAAAGAAGACACTGCAGAAAAAGCAGCACCTACGCCCCCCCCCCCCCCCTCCCTCCCTCAAAGGCCCAGGTTACAGACAGGTGAGTCCCCCACTAGTGAACGCGTCTTACAGTTGCTACTTTTGCTTCCTTTGGTCAGTTATAGGGTACTTGAAATCTATTATTGTAGCTTGCGTGTGAAAAATTATTTTTGTATCTGACTCAGAAAAAGCAAGGGCAGGCAGCCTCCGCTGCTTCACGTGCGCCGTCCTCTTGGTGTCTGCCTCCCAGTTCCGATCCATGTGCTGTTTGATGTGTGCTTGGCAAAGAAAGAGCGTGTGATTTATGTGTGTGTCTAGGTTATCAGGCTTATTTTACATTTGTAAAAGTTGGATCCTACATTAAGAATGACACAGAGACAGGCAGACAAGTAGGTTTTCCTCCAACATGAGCTTCTTTCTGCTGCTTAAGCTTTAACCTCTCACCTCGTCGTTTCCCCTCCCCTCATCTTCTCCTCTCCTTTACTACAGATGCACCTCAATGCAATCACAAAACTCTCCAAAAAACTGACTTAAAATCTCATCTCACACAGTTAAACTATTTCCGTCATCCCATGAAATGGTTAGCTCACATGACCGGTGACGTTTTGTCAGCTCGCCGGTTCCGACTCAAACTCTAAGCACACTGGTGGTTCTTTCAGAGTTGCAAGACGAGAAGGATTTTCACAAAACTGTAAAAGTGACGCATTTTTTGTCTGCAGTTTTTGATCGTGCTCTACTTGTTTTGGCTTGGAATAATTTTACAGCTCAGCTAGGCCCTCCACCGCTTCCCGGTTGAGGTGTCAAACGAGGATCATGGGTTAACATGGTATTTCAACTGAAACGTTGAGTCCACAGGAGCCTACGGTGGCTTACGCCCAATGCAGAAGTGGTTAGTAATTGTTGCCGTCTTTGCTTGTGCTCTAGCTTTAGTCTGCCTTTCCTTTCTTTCTTTTTTATTAATGCTTAAAAAGGTGTTTGGGGAAAGGTGGGGACTGGAAGGAGAATTATATAATCCACTACTCCTGTCATTTTTTAAGGGAAATGTGCACAATGTAAATCACAAAACAACTGGTGTGGTTAAGCTGGGTTTGGACAAATGCTTTGGAGCAGTTGATGGACAAGAAGCGGGACATGTTGTGAGGAAGACTCGGCAGTGGAGAAAAAGACTCATAACCGGAAATTAATGGAAAAGCAGAAGAAAGGAACAAACTTATTACAATAAAATGACATTCAAAGCTGTGGTTGACTTTTTACTGGGGATGGCTTTCTGATGTCTCTACAGGGATTAAGAACGTCCACATGAGCCCTTTTGTACTCACTGGTGTGGAAAGGAGGCAGTAAGAGGTTCTGAATCAAACCTCACCACAGCGTGGCTACAGGGATCTCAATGTACGAGAGGACAAAAACAAGGTATTCATCTTGGGCCTGTTCCTTCCCACGGGCTGTTTTCTAAGCTAACACTTGAGGGCGCCATTGTAGCAGATTCTATGTCAAACCCCTCTGAGGACAAAAACAGAACCGGGTGGCAGGATGGAAACTGAAACAACATCTGGATGAGGATCAAATCTGTACATTTTTAAATGTAACAAGCAAACAGATGAAATATTTGTAAATATTAAGTTTCTTGTTAGATTTTTGTTTTTTTTTGTTTGTTTTTTTTTGAGTGTATGAATGCTTATTTTGTGATAACAAAAGACAGCAGATGCAGTTTGCAAAAAAAAGAAAGACAGAAAAAATAGACCACCTCTGTTAACAATTCAGATTGCCATGCATTTTTGGTTCTGTTGTCATCTTCTTCTCACATTGACCGTCATCAGCCGGGCATCCTGTAGCATCATGGCTCTTTCAAGAAAATTCCCCGTAGCAGAACTCGGTGAAGCCCACTCAAAACAAAGGGCTGAGTCAGCACTGCGAGCTCCTACATCTTAAACATTTGAGAAATTACATTTTTAAAATTTTACTCAGTTCATTTTCTAAATCAGCTACTCCGGAATCATGTCTCCCTCTTACAGCCTTTTGCTAGTCATTATTTTGAAATTGATCCAGGCATGTGCATGGTTAGTCTGTGCCACATGATGAGGATTCAGAGAATTTCTGTGAATATCTCAGAGGCAAAAGCACTTAGAACACTCCGCTCCACATGCAGTGATGTCATTTAACAACATAACCAAATCATAAGAAGTGCAGCCCTCCCATGTTAGATCACGGACATGTAGCAGTGTCTTTATGTAGCTACCTAATTACGTTTCGGGTTGGTTGGCGTGAGGCCTTTAATACCATAAGATGCCTCAAATGACGAATGACACCATAATCCTGTCCAGCTTTTAGTTTCCAGTCAACATGCTGTTTTAGAAGCTCTGCCTCTCTTGCAGCGATGTGATGTAGCAGCAAAACACTTCTGTGTCCTAAACACCGGACAAATGGGGGGGGGGGGGGGAGAGTTTATTTCTGTAAATTGACAAAGCGCATCGGACTTGGTTAATCCAATTAGCAACACTCATTTTGAGTCTAGGCCAATAATCAAACACACTTGGAAGTTCAGTGAGCCAAACCCAAGATAAAAGGCCATCAACCAGTTTCCTAAACCTTGAATCATGGCACCATAAACACATCCTCACAAACACACTCATTGTCATCAGCCCTCAGCTTGGTCTCCACTGCAAATCTGCACCTGTTGTCTAGATTTTACATTCTATGTTGAATTCAGAAACCCAAGACTGGACATGAAAAAACCCTGATAAATAATGGGATTTGAAAAAAAGTGATTATAAAAAAGTAAAGTAAAAATATATAAATAAATGAGGTGATGATATTTCTGTTATTTTAGAGGTTATTATACACTGTATGCTGTGATTCTGATCTGGGAAACATTAAAGACATTCATAGCCAGATTGCAGATTGTGTCCTTTAATTCAATCACTACACAGACATAGTGGATTTAGAGAGTGAAGCTTTTATTGAATTCAGTGAAAATATAAGAAAATCATGTATTTAGGTGAAAACAAAAGGTGAGAATGTAAGATTTTTTTTCTGACTTGGCAGACTTCCAGATTCTTTTATACTGTCAGCTCAACTTTTTTAGCACAAAAAAATATATCCTGATATTCGTAACACAAATAACAAAAATGATAAAATAGTGAAATAAAACCCTTTACAGAATCCATTATGTGTATCATCCACAATGTCCTTGTTTTCTTTTAAAAATGCAGTTTAAGACACTTTATAGTTTCTTGAAAAGCCTTTTGCATTGAAAAATTATGACAATGAAAATAACATGATTTGAGAAGGTCTAATTGGCCCAGTCAAAACTATTTGAACAAAGTACATGAAGAGAAATCTAATTCACAACAAAAGCATAAACAGGACTAGTAAAACTGATGGATCAAAGCAAAGACAAATATTAACTCAATCTCTAGAGGCACGCTTGTTTATTTGCTTCACGTCATTAAAGTAAACCAAAGTTATGTCGTTGTAGAGTTTCCACTCTAAGATCAGCATTTAGACAAAGCAGTTTAAACACGCACTGACTCAACGTCATCAGCTTAAATGAGGCAACTGATTTCTTCTCTGTGCTTGTCTGGACAAAAATATTTAGAGTAAATAAAAAGGCAAAAACAGAACTGTTTATCAGTTAAACAGGATGTGTACCTGTGTAGTTATTTTGCAGCATCTCACATGATACTAAATGACTCCTTTAGGCTTTTTTTTGCCCGCTCAGGTGTGATATTATTCCAGGGATTTGGGATACTAGCAGGTTCTGCATTGTACTCTTTGGCAAAGTCATGGTTGTGCTTCATAAATACATATTTCCAGAAGTCTGATGCCTCCAAGCTCGCATCCGGGACAATTTTCCAGTGTGGGAAAATTTCTTTGTAACGTTTGTAAGGGTGAAATGCTCCGTTGGTCTCATGACATCTAAATGTGTGATCAGTAAGCACAGAAGAAGAGCATATGTCAGTGACAAGGTCATTGGAGTAAACAAATCTGTATCTACCCAGTCCCTTTGGACGATGAAGTGAAGCAAAGTGCTCAGGGTGAGCTTTGCCTCCTGCTTCACATGGAGCTTTGCAAAATGGACACTGATGACCACAGCCAATCAGTTTAGTGAAAAGCTCATTCTCAGGCTTCAGATGGAGACGTTTCAGCTTCATTCTAATGTCCTCTTTTTTTACCTTGGCTTCCAGAGTTTGTCCCATGTCAGCCACACACTTTCTGAGTGAATGAACAAACTGTTCTTTGTCCGCATTATTCAGTGTCATAAAGGCACCAAGAGCATCCTGGGAAAGGACCAGTTTATCACCAAGTTCTTTGCAGATGTCTTCAATAAGCCCCCTTAAATGTGCACTGTTTTTCCCTTTTGCCCCATCAATTGCATCTGTTATGTAGCTGATACATGACTTGATACGCTGATTTTCAGATTCAAATGTTGTTGTCTCTTTTGAGAAATGATCCATAATTTGATGGAGGATGCATTTTTTTGCATATGTTTCATATGAGCTAATGTAGTCTACATAGCGTTCAAAGTCATCCCTCTCAAGTAAGTCCTTTAAAATTGAATACTGGAAGGACATTCGTGTACTGAATTCCTCCTTTTTCAGCATTTCAGCAAGGATATCAGGACCCAGAGAACGGTTGATAAAGTCTTCAACAGCAGGCTTCAGACATTTGGTGGTGAACTCTTCTGCTTTTTTCTGGCACTGGTCTTTCTTTTGGAAAATATCTTTGAAATCTGCGTGAAACTGTCCTTTGTTGTTTTGAAGACATCTGCAGGGGTCGTTCCTACTTAGAAAATCGTTGTGCATTTTCTGAAATAGTTGTGCAGCTTTTCCACAGATGTGCTGCTTCAGAGAAACTTCAAACTTCACACCCGTTCCTAGGTGCTCATTTTTTTGCAGCATTTCATCAATGGTGTGAAGGATCTCCTCAATGTAGGTTTCATGGTAGTTGGTTTTTCTCTCAATTTTTATAGTAATTAACTCTGTGCAAGTACTTATAATGTCATCGGCCATTTTTTGTACAATCTTTGTGTGATCTTGAATGTCAAAGATTTTCTTGATTTTATGTATTCCTCGCTGTATCAATCCTTCAGGTTGGTACTTAAAAGACTCGGCTCCACAATCTTGCAGACTTCTTTTGCTCAGTAACTCAAACGCATAACCTGGCTTTGTTGACAGATTTGTTCTCAGGTGGTAAAATATGCTGCTGTTAATGTCAGTGGGTTTTATATTGAAGGAGGAGAGTTCCTGTTCAGTTTTTGTCCATATTTTGTCAAATTCTTCATCCAGTTCTTCTTCAGTCATCTTAACAGATCTCGCGTGACATTTGTCAATTAGTCTACGTACTCGATCCTCTAACTGTGTCCGGTGTTTCTCTTTGATTTGATCAACTTCTGTCATTCCTCTTCTGATATCAGCTGCTGCTGTGAGCTGGCTAATTATGGATCTTTCCGTTTCTTTTCGAAGACTCTTTGCGCTGTTAGAGAATTCCTCTCTGTATCTTTCAACCAGATAGACGTGACCATCTGTTTGCTTGAAGTATTTCTTCAGATTATCAAGCAGCCTTGTCTCCCACTCAGACAGCACAGTGGCAGCTTCGCCTTTTAACTCAGAGAGCAGTTCTGTCATGTCAGATATGTCAGACAGAGCAGCCACTGTGCCAAAATTTCTAATTCGTGTCTCTGCGTTAGTCACCCAGGTGTACATTTCTTTTTTGAACTCCCACTCCCATTGGTTGAACTCCGTGCAGAGCCGGATGTATGCATCAGCCACGAGGCTGTTCCTGAAGCTGAAAATGAAGTTTTCATGCTTTACTGAGTTCCACAGGCTGGTCATCCACTCTCTAAACTCTAGAATATTGTTAGCGGATGACTGAAACGTTCCCAGCTGTTGGAGGATGTTTTTCTTCAGCTCATATACAGCCTCGCTGTACCCTGCATTGACTGGTGCCATTGGTGGGTTTCCGTTCCATAGTCCAGGAACGTAGCAGTTGCCAGTGTCTGGACTATACTCCATCACATCCGTGAAGCTCTTGTTCTTCTCTTTCTTTTCCATTTTGGCCGCTGCCTGGGTCATCTCATTCAGCTGCTGTAAGAGAAGTTTCCTGTCTCGTAGGTTTTTCTCATGGGCTGAAACATCAGAAACGTTCTGGTGGACAAACTGACATTTGGGCTTTTTGCCCACCTCCTTCATTCTGAGAAAAGCATGCACCACTATCTGCAGGATGTCTTTCATTTCTGTGGAATTCTCCATGGCAATATTGACAATGGTCATATCACTCAACCCCACAACAAGTGTTGCAAGCTCATTGTCGTGTTCGTGGCTGTTGTCCAGCTGTGCCAGCTCTGGGGACTTCAAGCCCTCAGTATCAATGATCACCATGAAGTCACAGTTGAGAAGTGTTTTGATGTCTTGGTTGACTTTTATCAGCAGCATGAAGGCCCCTCGAGTGCATCGACCACTGCTGACTGCAAACTGCACCCCGAACATGGTGTTAAGGAGAGTGGACTTTCCTGTGCTCTGAACTCCCAGAACTGTGACTACCAGTATCTTGTTCTGTGGAGACACCAACTCATTGAGCTGAGCCAGAACGTCACTCACCCATCTCAGAGGTATGTTGGAAGCATCTCCATCTACAAGCTCCAGAGGAAACCCATCCAGCAGCAGCTTTGCGCAGTGGTTGGGGAGATGTTGCAGCTGTTGACGTGATAGATGCGTCTCAGGAAGAGAGAGCGAGGCTTCGTAGATCTGACCCATTTCACGAAAGAAGTGTTCGGTCCCCAGTGAGCTGTTGGAAAGCTGTCTGTCAATGTTCTTTATCTCTTCTTTGTTCTCTGAATCTTTACACTTTTCTTTGTACTGCTCCCTGAGTCCAGACAGTTTGACACGAGACATATTATCCAGGTTCATTCTCATCCATTTCAGGAAATAGCACCTCTCTGTTCCTGGGCTGGATATGGCATTGATGAAGCAGATCATAGCTGGTGATATGTCATAAGAGTTCTGCTTTGTCCTCAGTTCTTCTTTTTGCTGCCGCAGATTACTCCTGTACTGGTCTATGTTTTCAGAACCAACGTTCCGAAGACGAAATTCTTCCTTCTCTAAGCAAGTCAGGTCCTTCCATATTTGTCCTTGCAGAGGAAGCTGCTCTTCTTTGTATTCAATGGTGTCTTTAATTGCTGCAGTGATTTCATCTGCATTTTTCTTTCCAACCTGGCACTCTGGAGCATCTTCATCAACCAGGATTCCCAATTCATGAGCAATGTCTACCATCTCCTCTACTGGCATCTTCATCTTTGTGTTCTCGACAACATCACTAACTTTTTTTCTCAAGCATTGGACAAAGTCTGCATCATTTGTCTGTTTTGTCTTTATAACAATGTTATTATTAGTCAAACCCAGCTTTTTTGCTAGATTTTTCAGAGCATCCTTGAGTTGCAACTTTAAGTTCTCGCTTTGAAGGTTTCCAACCAAGAAGATCTGTGCTTTGTGGTTTTGGTTGATAAGGAGCTCACATCCTGAGTCCAAATGGTCAAAGAAAACAAAAACTGCGGCAGAGGTCAGACACAGAAAGGAAAATTGTGTTTCGAATGAAGCAATGTCACCACGAAGATTAGCTAGAGCTATCGGCTCAACAAAAATGTCCATATTTTTGTTCCCACAAGGAAGATACCAGGAAATTTCAGCCAGTCCATCAGATATCCTTCTTGGACTGTCTCCACTCTCCATGTTACGGTGAACAAAGGTGTCATGGTACTGTTGAGAATTGCTCAAAAGCTTGTTGAGGATTTCTGATTTGGACAAGGAGCACTCACCCAGTCTCACAAAGGAGATCATTGGAAGTTTACAATGAACGATTCTTTCTTCAATAAAGCCTTTGGACTCTAACAGATGTTTAGGTCTGTACCTCTTCACAGTGTCTCTCATGGCCCAAAGCATGAGTGTGGACCGTTTTGTGTCACAGTTTGGAAGCAGTAGAGGTACAGAAAACTGACACATAGACATTTTTAGAGCCAATTCCTGCTGTGCAAAACCATCAGAGCACAGGAAGAGAGCAGTGACAATATCAAGAGGGTTTACCATGTTGTCTGAGTTTGAGCTGTCAAGCAGACAATCGAGATTTAACTCATTACTTCCTAACACATCATTACTGTTTGACTCACATTTCACATTCCGAGCTGTGACATTAACCATCATCAGTTTCTTTAGAAAATACCAAGGAACTTCTGATTTACACTTCTGAGGGGCATCGTTAATTGTGTTCTCGTCAATCGCAAGGAGCTCCTTCAGTGAAATTTTCTCCCCGTCATAGTACTTCTTCAAGTTTAGATCTTCCAACAGGCAATCCATGTGTGTCTCTGTTGAAGCAATGAATTATCATATTTTTAAGCAGAAGGAGGCATTAAACATTCTACATTGCAGACGCTAAATCAATTATACAATATGGTGCTTACAAGTTAATCTTGGTCATATTTCATTTTTCCTTATGTATTCATCTCTTACTTGATTTTGGAGGTTGCATTTCCTCAAGAGCGAGGGGTGGGTTTTGCTTCCGTTCTCTGTTTGCGTCAGTTTTTCCATCCACACAGCCGGTCACAAAGTTTCTCTCCAGTTCCCAAACTGACATGTCTAGTGGCAGAGATACTGAGTCAATTCTGGTTTAATCTTGTTTACAATTATGAAAGAAAGACTCTTGTGGAGTACTTAACATTCTGCCAGTAAATTCATTCACCTACCTTCACCCCCTTCATCAGTGTGCTGACTGTCATCCTTGCATGGAGAACATGCCTCTTCACTCATTTCCTTATAATGAAGAAAAAAAGAAATACTTTTAGTATGACACATGATTTTGTGGAATGTGAGAACTAGGGCCCCTACCTAATCGAGAATGCTCGACTAGTACTTCAATCAGGCTCTCTTAATTATTAATCTAATTTGGGTAAGTGTTTCCCAGTTTGCAGTGGGTGATTTGTAATCTTTTATCCACATCAGGAACAGATTTCCTGTTCATCATAGTATTATGTTACATATTTATATTTCATTTGTTTATAAAAAGATAAAAGTATATTCAGGTATGCAGAGCTTTTTGTAAAGAAAATGCCTTTATTAAAATGTATTTTTGGTTTATTTTTCTTTCAAGTAATGAATTACATATAGTGTGATCGTGTTGCTTGATTTGAAACAGGGATGACAGAATGTTCTTACAAAAAATTAGGGTCTCTGTCTTAGATGGACATCAAGAACAAATGCATTTTATAAAGAGAACAGAAGGTTTAAATATCTTTTAGATATGAATACAATAGCCGTGTACCTCCATTGTTGAGCCAGACGCCGACACGCCAAACTGGTTCAGATCATTCAAGCAGATTATCTCTGAAAATGATAAGGGACGTTTTTTTTTTTTTTTAGGAAGAAAGTCAGTCACCTTTATCCTAAAACCAGAAACCTAAACTCATAAAAAAATTGTAGGAATGTTCACAAAAATTCTCAAACATTGATAGTGACTTGATGAACTTTCAAGATGAGGTTAATTTTCCTTCTTGTTCAAGCTTGCAGATCGGAATAGCTCAGGTTACCACTAAACATGCCTTGTCATGTAGCAATAGGCTCAGAGTGCTGTGGAAATGAAAGACCTTCGGTTACACACTCTGGTCATCAACATGCTTTGTGTTTTCTGTCTGAGAAGGTGTTCGGCAGCATAAGAGTGAAGCAGGGGACTGAATTCTCACCATTTCTCTTCACTTTGTTCACCTCAGAGTACTGTCCTTCACACAGATACTCTGAAACAGCTGTTGTTAGGGGAATTCTTTTAATGAGTTATTATTGAATTAATTGTTAGAGGAGTGATTGGACACTAATTGGTCAGCTGGTCAATATCTTGTGGCATGGTTTGGAATTCCACCAAAGATGTTTTTTTAAATCTAAGGAGGTAGAAGAATGTTTTTTGTCTTATTTATGTTAGACAGTCGACTCATATTAATGAAATAACCTATAACATAGATTGCATTAAAGGTTTTATTTATTTATACAGAATACCCAACACAGCATAAGCACCATTTTGTATTATTTTCTATTATATAGGGCAAGCTGGAACACGTACACTCATCATGTAAACAGTTAGAGCAAGCATATCATATAAGCACACCACTTCCTTCAAGACTTATAGATTAGTTGGGTCCATAAAGTTGACGTATTAATCACATTTTATCAGTGGTGGGCAGTCAGGGCCTGCAAGGCCTTCTCTGCTGGCTTAAGAAAATATCTGAATCACAGACTGATTTTAATTATATTTTGTCCATGAATACTTATTAAATATCTCTAAATGGTCTGTCCGCTTCCTTAAATAGCTTTTCCCCTGGTTGCGCTGCTTCCAGACATGTATTTTCATGTTAAAGCATTTAACCAATCACATTTCAGTCATCATTTGTTGCTAGCCAGGGTCAAAGTCAAAGATATCTGCCTGGATGCCTTCACAATTCGTTCTGCGGGCCCCCCTAATAGAAAATACATGTCGATTAAACTGTTGCTTTAACCAATCAGAGGGCCCTCTAGCAGACGTAAGGCAACGTCACCGTATTCACACCCGCTGATTGGATAGTCAGATAGCGTGCAAACCAAAGCTAGCAAACAAACCGGTTCGGTTGGAAATACGACATTGTAGGCTCGACTTTCAGGGTTAGATTAAATGGCGATTGAAAAGGACCTGCATACGTGCATTTCACAACTATGCCTTCAGTAGTGCTCCATCTGAATCAATTCACCCCTCAATAACTATTTTATGGTTATAGAAATCATCTTATTATGTAGAAATACAGTATAAAGGTGAGGGTGCACAAGTCTTCTACTACTGCAGCTACAGCTCCAACACCACCCCCCCCCCAAAAAAAAAACATAAATAATATCCTCACAAACTCGAAATATTATTTATGAAAAAAGCAACATTTCACTCAACAAAAATTTGTTTTTGTAGACAAAATCCATCCTCCTCTCTTTCCTCAAAAAGACTTCAATTACTCCGTCATACAGATTATCCATGCGCTTCAGTTCCATCAAGAGGTCCTTTTCTATCACCATTGAATCTAACCCTGAAAGTCGAGCCTGCAATGTCGTATTTCCAACCGAACCGGTTTGTTTGCTAGCTTTGGCTTGCACGCTATCTGACTATCCAATCAGCGGGTGTGAGTACGGTGACGTTGCCTTACGCCTGCTAGAGGGCCCTTGTGTCACCAACTTAGAATCTGATTGGTTAAAGCAACAGTTTAATCAACATTTATTTTCTGTTAGAGGGCCCGTAAAACGGATTGTGAAGGCCTCCAAGCAGATATCTTTGACTTTGAACCTGGCTAGCAACAAATGATGACTGAAATGTGATTGGTTAAATGCTTTAACATGAAAATACATGTCTGGAAGCAGCACAAACAGGGGAAAAGCTATTAAAGGAAGCGGAAGGACCATTTAGAGATATTTAATAAGTATTCATGGACAAAATATAATTAACATCAGTCTGTGATTCAGATATTTTCTTAGGCCAGCAGAGAAGGCCTTGCAGGCCCTGACGGCCCACCACTGCTGTGAATCAACTTCCAGTAAATCAATAATGAAAATTAGTGAAATAGTGAAAATCCTGTCCTATCATAGCCTTGTTTTGCCTCTGTTAAAGGTGTGATTTTTCATTTTTTTTAAAGTTTAATAGTTTAGACCCCCCTCGCTTTTTGGGTGTTTTTTTTAAAATAAATTCATAGCCTTGTTGCCTCTTCCTGAAGAATGCTTTTCCCTGAGCAATACCTTCTCTTTGTTGATTTTCTAATCCATTAAGACTTGTGCACAGTGAATCTTGCATCTGCATCCTGATCTCAAATCATGACACTACTTTTTAAAGACAAAGTCACAGTCTTCTTCTTAAGTTAGAATGTATGTCTCCTTCCATATGGCCAACAAGTTTGTGGCTACTACAAATCATCAAGCTTATTCTTTTTCATAATTCCATCAAAATCTATTAAAACAACATTCTGTACTTCGTTAAATATCTCGCTTCTTTTTGTATGTTGTGACATTACCAAATGACAAGTTAGAGAAACTGTCCATGGTTTAAGCAATTCTCCACATTCATCACACTCGCTGAATAGCAGATGCACCTTTGTGTTACTTACTTTCTCGTCTCATTGAAAAAATTTGCAAAACATAATCCACAAAACATCAACATAAGAGAACCTACCTTTACAGAACGAGCGTCGGCCTGAACTGTGCAGATCAGTGGAGTGCTGTTACTGCAACTATTCACTGAATTTTCACTTTTGTTTTCTCGGAAGTCGCAGTGGGTGGGTGTACATATTCATCTTGTACTCTTGCAGCACATACATGTTGCTGTCTTACACAGATACATGAGCAAATTTTTCTAATACAATTTGACATTACGCATGTACCCTTAAACTGATTACTATTTACTGTTCACAGATATCCAGGAGCTAGTGGCCCAGTTTTAACATTAGGCCTTGCTGATTAGATTCTGGGGCCAATAAATATCTATGCAAATTTCAGTACAATCAGATCGATTTGGTACGTTGTATGATTCACATGTTAGGATAGGGTTGGGTGCTCTTACTTCATGAGGTTTGATTTTTCTTTTCCTTTTATTTTTTCTTCCTGCCTCAGACAGACGAAGAATTTTTGTATAAACAAACGGTGAGTCATGAGGCAAACATTTGTGAGATGAGTCGTGACACTAACTTGAATGAGGTTTTATATGGACAGCTTTAGACAAACTTTCTAACTTATAACAATAAAACTGTTAATTACTCACTCAATTTTCTGTGTAATTGTTCAAATAACAGAAAGATAACCTAGAACACATAAAACAAACAAAATTCTCAAAACATACAACTCAATGGCCTGCAATAATTTTCACTTTTGATTTAGTGGAAGTTGATTTACAGTAAATGTCTTGATAAAAACATCCTCATTCTGCTGTTGCATATAAAAAACGTTTTTACTTATTAATTCTCACATTTAGTTGATCTAAATGTTTATCAAAATCATGTTTCATTTGCTTTGTAACTCCTGGTAGTTGGGATTTTTTTTTAAAGCCTACAAGCAGTTAAATGCATGTGCACCATTCGCATGAGACACAAGCACAAAAGAACATTTCGTCTGGAAGCCTTACATTATGAGTTTGATTGCTGTAGGAAAGCTGTGTCTTCTGAATTTTTTTTCTAAGAGTTATTTTTACTGGGTACTGGTTTTCCTCCTGACTTGGGGTTAGAGTGAAAGTTAGGGTTAGATGCCTACACCCGACCTCCTCTCTCTATCTGTAGTCTAAAATATCCAAATATTATAATGATCATACCATTAAGTGGTATATATATCTGACAATGGGAATGGATTTGATAATAAATAGTTATCTACTTAAATAGCAAACTATGCTGTCAAATAAGTAATTTCATGTGCACACATACCCCATACATAGGGTAAGACGGTTTTTATGACACGTTAAATGTGGTGTTACCGAAATCTTGTTCCCCTGGCGTTGTACTTCCGGTCTCTAAAAAAAACAGAAGCTGCCAGTTCGACTCGGCCTTAAGGAACCTGTTCTCTTGGCAAAGGCGGGAAGAAACATGTGTCTCACATGTCAGCGAAAAGTCCAAACAACGTTGTGACGTGAATCTGTTCTCTTGAGGTCGGTATTGTTTTGTTTTTTTTCATTGCAACGCAGAAATAATGTAACGTTGTCTCCTAGTGGTTAGCCGTGGTTTAGTTAGCTTACCTTTTCCCTCCTCTGTTATCATCGGGTTATGTCGGTAATTGGACTGAAACCTTTAGCCTTTTTAAGATGCTTTTAGTAATTGGTTTGATAGATGCAAAGTGCTGTTAGTTAAAGACGACAGGTCACATTCAATACATCCTTTGAGAGAGGTGTCCGCCGCTTACTGTAAAAGTTCCTTGTCATCAGGGCTCTGTATGAAGACATAACATAGTGCTCTTTTATTAATGTTAACCAAACAAGGGTTTTCTAACCTGTAAAAACAATAAAGAACCGTGTTTTATGTGTGAAAATCTGATCATGTCATTTGGTCAAACAAATTATTAAAGTTCATATAATATTTTTAACGTAAGCCCTTTTAGTGTTTGTGGGCACTGAAAATAACGTGCGTATTTGTTTAACCACTTCCTGTTAGATTCCTATTTAAACTAATTGTCAGTATTTCTTTAATGCAACCTATGTCTGTTTGGTGTCAGAGATCTAATCTAATACACTCTCTTCACATTAAGGACTTAATTTTACATTTAAATCAATATTATTTTTTTAGATATGTTCTCAATTGGTTGCCATTTATTTTTTCTGAAAAATTTTAGATAGTAAGTAAAAGTGTCTACTATCGTTTCCAAAGCTTCAGGAGCTTAATCTCTTCTCATTTAAAGGCTTTTAAAGTTGTAAAATTAGATTACCGTAGTGCTTCACCATCATAAAATGGTCAAACATTTCTGAGGATTCATGGTTTTATGAATGTGCCGTATGTGGATTGTGTGACTGTAAATGTGACTGGATTTGATATTTTAGATAAATGTTTTCTGAACACGTGGAGATTTCAGTCAGATTTGCTAACTTATAAAGTGTCAGAGTTCGAACAACGCATTGGAATTGAACGCGATCATTGAAGGCGAACGTGCTCTCTCAAAGTTTGCACACATTTCATTAGTTCGCTACTCTCTTGTCTCCTCAGCTTTCTTTCTTTGGCCCCAGTTGCTGTCTACGCATATATACATACACTCGCAGAAAAGCATGGCCGAGCCACGCAACCCTGGATTGTCCTCTGGCCCTCTGATGAACCCGGGACAGACTGAGTCCAGCTCTCCAGCTGTTGAGATGGACCCTGTGGAGTACACCCTGAGGAAGCGTCTGCCCCGAAAACTCCCAAAGCGGCGGAACGATGTCTATGTCAACATGAAAACTGACTTCAGGGCCCAGCTGGCGCGCTGCCAGAAGCTTCTGGAAGGTGGAGGCCACAGGGAGATCTGCGTCCACGGCTTGGGTCTCGCCATCAACAGGGCCATCAACATTGCCCTCCAGCTGCAGGCCAGCAGCCAGGGGGCGCTGCAGCTGGCAGCCAACACCTCCACCGTGGAACTGGTGGACGACTTGGAGCCTGATGATCCCGATGAGGCCGGGGAGCCCATGACGCGTACACGCAACAACTCAGCCATTCACATCAAGGTTTTCTACCCCGACCCTCAGTGACCGCAACACTTGCAACCAGAGATTCAGTTTTTTTTCTCTGTTGTTCTGTTTGCTCTAATGTGTGCCACTAAGCAAAAAAAGCTATTAATCCCAATGGGAAGCTTTAGTTTTCTCTTATTTTACCATGAGTGGTATCCCGTTTTTCTTCTTTGTATTTATTTTTCTTTTTTTTTTTTTACTTTTGCACGACTTGATTGGTGTTTTTCAGGCAAAATTTGAATCTTACCTAAGACACGTGAACCTGTCTGTCAGATATAGTCCTAGAGTTGTATTTAATATTGAACGCCCTCAAGTCTGCATGTGTTTAAAGATAGAAATGAATAAATAAATTGAATCCTCTGTTTGCTCCTCAAGTTTTCGTCATTGTTCACTAGGTGTCAGTACTAAGCTGCTGTAACCTCCACACGCTGAACTTTAATAGAAAGTTTTCACAACACTGTTTACAGCATGTGGTTCGGCCAAGAATAAATAAAGCAAAATCTATTATTTCTTTCGTTAAAACAGCTACTGTTTCCTAAGAGGAATAATTGTGACAAAATGTGTACAAAAATCAAAATCAATTTAAAGGCATTTTAAACATGCCTGCTTCTTTGACATGCTATTTGTATCCGAATGTGTGTGTATATATAGTTTTTATATATATATATATATATATATATATACACACACACATACATAATCAGTTTTTTTCTGTCTTCAACATGTTTGTCAAGTCTCATTTGCTGCCTCAGAAAAGGCAGGTTACACATGAAATGACGACATTTCCCCTTGTTGTGTTTCCAGCTATCCTTTCTTTATCCAAGAACAATATTTTGTATTTAAATAGTGAATTTTACAGTGTTGCGACAAAACAATACCAAAAAAACAGGAAAGAAAATGCACAAACATCCTCAAAAACATCTTGCACTTGCGCAGCAATATAATAAAAATACGGAAAAAACAAGGAAGAACGCTTAACTAATGTGAAATAGTTGAGCATCCCTTTTAAGAAACCCTCAAGTTCTCAGGACGAGCTGATTGCCTGTCTGCCGTTTGATGACGAACAATGGGGGGAGGGAAGGCGCAGCGTTAGCGTCAGGTTCTGGAAAACTTTGCAATTATAGCTCCACAGGATGTTAAATTGTACATTTTTTCCATCCAGAGTGGCTATCAGCGTATGGAGACGGGTTGAGTGTTGGGGTTGGGCAGAAATGAAAACGCAGATAACAGTTTCACAGTTCTCATGAAACCCCTTCACTGACCTCTTGCTCTCACAACTGAAACTAAGCATCAACTTGGTCGGCCTCTGTTCTTTGAAACAACATGCAGAGTCACACAGCTGTTAGGGAACATACAATACTCATAAAAAAGGAACAGCAGCTTTGCCACTGCAATGATGAGAACACCATTGGGAATGCTAAGTGGCTCAATGAGATACGGAGGGACCAACTACAAGATCTGAAACCAATCTAAAGACTGGAGCGTAAAAGTAGAAAATCCATATAAATAGCTTTCACACAACTTAAAAAAATATTAAATTATTCACCAACCAATTTCAACAGATGTGACTTCCTTCTCAGGCAAAGCTGAACAATATTAGGCATGCAGAGTGAGGCCTCATTCATTTTTCTTGCCTCTTTGCAACCTCATAGCCTTCGAATTTCCAGTTGCATCGATATGTTCTGGGTGTTTCACGCCACAGTTGAGTGTAGGGGTCAAACTCGCTGGAAACGGACGCATCATACAACAAACACGCTGAAACTTTCAGTCTCCACTCACATACGAACAAGTACATCCACACACAAAGTGCAACACAGTGCCTGTAGAACAGCTATTGGGGCAGTGCTTCCCAAAGACATCGTTTTGGTCAGTGCGCTTTAACATGTCCATGAGTCACGCTCCAAGGTGCAGTCGTCTCCGTCCATCCAAAGCCTTGCTGGGACTGTCCCTTCCTTTCAGCCTCCTCCTTAAATGTGAGGACTGCCGTTTTCTTCTCTCCCCACGCTGCGTCCAGTGCGTGGGTTAACAGTGTCAAATTCTTCCTCGTACTTTTGGAAACACAAATTACTCTTGCCTGCGGTCGGGCGGTCAGATGATCAGCTGACGTCTTGCTGACAAGCCTGCGCATCCAAAAGGAGAAGACGCACTTTGCCCCGCAGGAAGTTAACGTAGACTTGAAGCAGCTCTGCTGCTGAGGACACCCTCCATGTTCCCTCCAGCCCTACTGCGGTTGCCGGCGGGGTGTATTCCTATGAGGGAATGGAAAGAGACACGTTACCATCACCCCTGCGCTGAGAGACAGACGGTTCATTCAGCTTGGGTACATCTTTCCTCTCAGAGGCTGTCTTGTGAAGTGTTGAAACGCAGGAACGGGCTTGCAGTGCAGCATCAGTACCTACGGCATTTTCATGAAAGGCTCACAGTTTAGATGTCTCATGACGCTCCTTAGTCTCTCAGTTGCCAAAGAAAGTCCCATTGTTTTACAACAAGAAACTCAGTTTGGGTTCAAACAGCAGCACTGAATCAAAGGGAACTGGCTGAAACTGCCCTAGAATGTCCAGTAGACCTCAAATGAGGCACTTACATGGAAAACAAAGATAATTATGTCTAAAGTTTTCATTTGTATGAAGGAATAAAAGTTTGGATTTCCCACATGAACAGTGCTTACTTAACCTGTCCCATTTAAAGCTGCTTGTAATATCGACACATGGGCACGTTAATGGGGTAAATTAGGCTCTTGGTTTAGTGATGCTTTGATATTACTCAGAGTTTTCTGTGATCACAGAAACGTTTTAAGTATATATTGTAGGTGGAAGTTGGAATGCTGAGTTGTTTTTTTTTAGAGTCATGGTAAATCTTCTATGTTATGGTCATAATTTTGTTATGGTTATCATTTAGCAACTAGTGGATGTGAAATCGTATGTTCTCACTCATTCAGTTAGTTTTTAACAGAGCTCTTAGCTGCACAGTGTCTGGTATAGCATATAAATAGTTTGAAATCAATATGTCTATACCACAACTTTTATAAAGTACTAAGGATTGGTGACAGTTAAAGTTTGGTAAATGGTGCTTTGTTTTGTTTTGGGGTTTTTGCTTTTTTTGCAATGTTTCTAGCAATAATACTGCTTTTACTTTTTGTCTTAGTACATTTCTTTTTAAAAAATCAGTTCTATTGTCCTCACTGATCGCAAATGTCAAATTTCCAAAGTTTCACATTTACTTTTGACATTTACTTTTCGTGAGACTGTTAGTAGAATCTCACTCAGTTCTAGGCAGCGACTTCATGCCTTTGGGGACCCACCTGGATGTTGAGGCTCCGCAGTACGGCGTTGATGCTGAGCAGGTTTCTGACGGTGTTGTCTATGTGGCCGTTTAGAGCTGTATTTGTGACCGACGTTTGTAGTAAACTGAGGGCCTGTTGTAGAAGCCACAGTCCAGTCTGCACTTCCTGGGTTTGCTCCAGAGCCTTCCCAAAAGATAAGCAGAGGCAAAGACTTACACTGCCATTTTGGAAGAGATATGGATCAAAGGATGTAGGAAGTAATCAGTTCTTCCGTTACAAATTAACAGGGGTTACAAGTCCCACAGAAAAAACACCTCAAGCAGGAAACCTGACCTTGGGAAAAAAACAAAAAAGTGCAATCTGTACAAAAAAGGTCACAAACTACGAGTTAATAAACTTCTAGAAACCGCACTGAGCTTTCTAGTAACCTAAATGTACTTTCAAACATTTCATTCATTTGGATTGGTACTTACATTTTTCTTTTCCCAGTCATCAAAGTTAACTGTGGTTTGGGGAACGGAGACAGACTCTAACTGACCACATCCATCCTTACATGACTTCTGAGAACAGAATAATAAAGACCATTTTTTAGGTTTAGAAAAAACACACACTCAACATCTACTCTCCACAGTAAGTGCAGCAGCCTTCACCGACTCTTCGGGGTTAGCTCATGCATACATTTTGCTCTCACCATAGCGACTTCTGCGTCTCGTGCTTCCTGGATGAAATGGTTCAGGACCCTCAGGTCGCAGATTGGCCTTAGTGGGGATGGTAGGACTGGACGGGTCCACTCCAACACTATCAACAGCAAGGCAAACAGTCCTGCCATCACAGATACAGATTCACAAATACAGTTGCTTAAATGCTGATGCCTAGTTAAGTTCAATGGAAAGAGTAGCTGTGAAACCAAAAAGCGAGTCCGATTCGAAACAGGTACTGGCATGCTGTCTTTGGCCGTATAATGGGATTACTTGTCTAATTTTTTATGGAATGCTGCTTTTGCAGCATTTCCGATGCCTCTGTTCATCATGCATCAGCTCTTAAAGGTGGTACTTGGTTTTGACTCAGAGGTAAAATAAATTATATTCAAAATCATAGGTTTTTATCAATCTTATAGTTAAGCTTTTCTTCTATGAAAATGAAGTGTTACTTCTGTTATAGAGGTGTTGCTGTTGGGGGGCCAGTATGATCTACTAAGCCGCCCTCAATTCATCAACAGGTTAGTCACGACAATTTTTCCCTTCTTCCTCAAAAGTTTTCACGGGTTTCTCTGCCAAGTGTCTTGCTGCTCCTTTGGAAGAATTCCATCTTGGTAAAAAAAAAAATCTGACTCTTTCATCTCTCTACTGCAGAAACAAGACTTTTTGATCTTCCACGAGATCTGATAGCGCACTACTCCTACCAGTACGAAGCCACATCACAAAGTGAGTTCACAACATACACCCATCGTGACTAACACAAAAGGAAATACAATTATTTACCCAGACACTGACGCCTGTGGCACAAGGTGTGTGTGATCTACTATAAGACACATTACGGATAGGTCAGTCAGGACTGCTGACTGACCTATCTGGTGATAGTTAGATAGCTGGGACTAATATACATCATACTGTTGTAATGGTAAAACTCATTTTTAACCCCATTAAATCCAGGAAAAGCTGCTATTGTAAACATGGCATATATTCGAATGAACTTGCAAAATTACTCCACCTTGTTTTGCACTCTACAAATAGTCAAATGTCCATAATCTGGAAAAAGGTTTGAATAGTATTTATAGTTTTTTTTCAATTGAGAAAAACAATCAATGAATTGGTTGATATAATTCTTTCATCGATTTGGGACATTTCCAGTGTTTCCAAATGTTTATGAAACATAAATACAAAGTTATTTCCTGATAATGATCTGAATGAAGGATTTGACATTCTGTCATGGGGAGTCATTTGGGGAACCCAACAGTACCCATCACCACCCTAGGAGAACCCCAATCTGTCTGTGTGAACCTGTGTCACCTCTCAAAAGGCTGTTAAACGATGAGTCACGTATTACTACTTTCATAAGTGTAAGTAAAAAAAAAAAAGTTTTGCCGACGTCAGATTTTCCAGCAAAAATGCACACATTGAATGCTAGAAGGGGATTGCTACGGCAGTAGCACGTCCAGTGAGGAGCGGGGGATGACTTGGCATGATAAAGCAGTTCCTCATTCAAAGAAAAAAAAAAAGTGACATTTAAGATTACTAATGTGATGCTGGATCATCTCTCTCTGCTGTTTCTGATAGGATGACTCCCTGATAAAGATATCAGTAATACCACAACTGTAGAGATCATTGCTAACAGATGGCATGAAATAACTGACTGATATCCACCACACAGTGCATTCTGCCTGGAGGATTATTGGAGTTTAATGAGTGGGGCTATACAGTGTGTCATGTGGGAATACAGCCTCTTTCCTCTGTGCCACTAGCTGAATGCTCTCTTTCACCACAGCATGGGTTTGTGACGCAAAAGCATGATAGAAAGTAGAGATAATCTTTCCAGGCAGACAGAGCAGATACAGGTCAGATTAGGTTCTTACACTCCCGAACAACTTGCATAAAGGGACCCGTATTCCAAAAACTGGATTAATAAGCAGGTCTGTTACCACTAGTAGTCCAATAGTATTGGTGTCCACTGATATGTCTAAGGTACAATTAGATTACCCACTATTACTCTCTTTCTAGGATACAAGGGTCAGTGGGATGATTTAAGATCAGTCTGTCTGTAGAACACGTCTGATTTGAAAGACACTTTCCTTAATCTCTCTGCTTTTATGGTATCGAACAGCTTTTCAGACTAGACTCAAATCATTCCTTTCAACAAGCGACCATAATAGACCATAAGTGTGGTGCAAATGAGCGCAAACTCCAATACACACACAATGCATCTGACATATTTACAAGTCACCATTTGCTTGGATTTTTTGAAGTGGTTCCTTTATTCTCTAAAATTATTCATGCATAGTGAATTCAAGTTGTGCGCTGGACAGGAGGTGAATACTGGTTGTGGCTTAGGAGTGAATATCATAGGAGAAATCTTACGAAGTGACTACACTGTCATCATGTTGGCTGTTTAGTAGCTGTCCTGTTTTACCCACATTTTACATTCATAGGTTTATTTCATGCTTTGTTTTCTTACTCCCCTTTGAATAAATCGCAAATTGGCACTTAAAAGTTATTTTTTACAGTATCGTTCCTGCAAAACTTTTCAATAACTCTCTGCTGTGAATTAGATTTCAGGCAATTGCTCACTTACAGGATTAAATGGAAAGCAATGCCCCTGCAGACAAATGAAAAAAGAGCATTCTCCACATACTCTGGCTCTCAAAGTTTGTGACTCAGCTTGAAGATTGTCAGTGACCTTTCCACCCCTCGCCACTGCCTACGTGAGAATCTATCAATTTAAAAAGCGTGTTCACACATGTATTATCTCTTAACTTTCTCACCACAGTGGTGGAATTTGCAGTCCAGGACCGTGGCCAGACGACAAGTAGCCTTTTCTGCCACCATCAGCTGCCAAAGCATGCTGCTGTTTTAGATTAGGACCCGTAGTATGCAAGTGGCTGCACTTTGGATAATGGATAATAGCTTGCTGGCCGCTCACATGACGAGACACTTTTGACACGTGCTATTTTAACCCATGAACGTTGAGAGTGACAGTTTAAACCTTCTAATTGGTTAGGCAGTAATGGTAAACCTCTGAAAGCCTTTTAGGAAACTCATCTGCTTTGAACAGGTCTTCCTCGTGACAAAGTGCAGAGTTTAAAGAGGGAGCTTTCAGATGACATGGTTGTGACATCATTTCCTGCTGCTCTGCTTGAATCCTTTCGTGCTGTCAACTCCTGATAACCTTTTGCGCCTTTCTGCTGACAGAAGTATGTGATGACTGTGCCAAAAACTGCCCTTCAATTTCTAGGTCTGCTGTGTCATGGTAAAGAATCAGACTAGCGGTGATGTTTTTTTTTCCAGTGACAATGAGAAAAACTATGGTGATCCACCATCAGCACATTTTAAAAAGATCAATGCATTTACGGTAATGTCCAGTGACGAAAGAAGAACTTTAGCTCAAATGGACCTCAGACTTGTATTTTTTTACAGTTAAACAATGCTTTGCATAATAAACATACCTTAAATTCATTTTTGCATTTTATTAACCTGCTGGTTACTTTGAGGAGTAGAGTTTTTCAGCACAGCATATTGTGTATTGGTGTGTTGACAGGTGAAGCGTGTAGACTTGTTTTTAAAGACCACTCAATAGTTAAGCTGAGTGGGGTGGGAGTGTAGTTCTATAGGTAACTGGACTCCTCCCATAATTCCTTACCTTACCTTACCTTACATTACCTTACCTTACCTTACCTCTGCTATCTCTTCGGTATTTCCCTACTGAAAATAATTTTTATTTGTTTTTTATTTGCCCTGAAGACTAGTTTCTAAATCTATGACTCCCATTGGTTTGTAAGTTAAAAAAAAACTAGTTGGGTTTTATCCCAAAATGAGTAAATTGGCCAAAGTCCTTTGAAGGATAGATTAAATCCAGAATCCATTTCTCTGTCTTGCGATTGTAAAGCCTTTACTGATCAAGATGGAAGCATGAAACATGAGCCATAGAAGAAATAAAGATTCAAGATTACTTGTCTTATTTTTAGCTCTCCAGGGTTACATTAAATAGCAGAGATTGCTGAGAGGTTAACAGTTAGAACACCTGTCCTGCATCTGAGTCAAATGATTTTTAGGTTTTTCAGGTTAAGATACAACACAGACACTTCTCAGACAGGAAAACAATATGATATTATCGCCTGGATGTGACTTATTATTAGAGCTTCTCTGAAAACAGGCATAATGCACATCTAAAATGCACCTTCATGCATTCACACAATTCTCTCTACACTCATACCAGGTCTACAACACGCCATACCAAAAATCACAGCTTGTCATTTGCCATCTTTTGAAATAGAGTATGTTTGTTAAGGGAAAACACGAAACAAGGTATATCTTTTTAAAGTTGCAAAGGTCATACTATGTCTGTGGGGACACATTTTAGAGACACCATTGAGCACTTCATTCATTAAAAATGAATATGACCTACCCTACTGAAGGTGTTACATCAGGAGACATCACACATTAGGAAGATTGACTTATTTTCAAGCACAGCAGCAAGAGGTATTCTGCGTTTGTCTCAGGTATTTGAATTCATAGACAAAAGTGCAGACCTCTGGGGGCGAGAGTTGGTCCCCAGAGCTTCCCGCGAAGATCAGTCCCTGGTGAAATTACACAATCTATTTCCACGAACCTCAACAATCCTCAAGCATTTGGGATGCCGCACATTAGAGGTGATTGTTTGGTAAAATAATGATTTCTAACCGTATGAATCCGAGCGCCAATAGATGAGTTAATATCACACATGCCGCTAAGTTTATCATCTCATCCACACAATCCATGCGTTTTCCAGCAAACCGTGGTTAAATACGGCTGAGTTAGAATGGAGACTGAACAAACGTATGTGCAGGTAATGCACAAAAAGTGAAACTTCAGTCTGTAAAATCCTCCGCCTTACCTCTACCTGTTTTCCGCAACATTCGCGAAAAGGTGCAGCATCCTTTAAAAGCATTGTGATACCGATAAACGCCTGCGCCGCCGTCTCCACCGGAGACACCTCTCAGATGTCCAACAGGTCCGGAATGCCTCCCAGTGCGCAGCTCTCCGCGGTAGTAGGGCCGTGGAGAAAAAAAAAAAGCCCCGTGCTACTGGCGAGAGCCCTCACCTACCACACTTTGCGTCAGCGCCGTGCTTTGGGAAAAGCTTTTATTTACCTCCCCTGAGGACATGGTGATAACGTGATGGCCCGCGAGAGCGAGCACGCGCCTATTTGCGTTCAACTGTGAGCGATTAAACATCGACCCCATCGCGCAGTCCCCAATGAGTAAAGCGTGAAAATAGAGCAACAACAGAAGAAAGTGTACAGAGAAAAATCATGCAGGCATGCCCGTAACTCACTGGGAAATTCCATAGCGGTGTCCGCATAGCCCCTCTCAGGGTCCTCGCGGTTCGGCCAATAGGTCCGTCTATTGCCCATTAATTGGAAACGAAGCTCTTTTGTGGATCTCTTGTGCACTTATCCGGTAGGTGTTTCTAAAAACTGATCCCGTTTGATTTTTTATTGATGACTTTGAAAATGAAGTTTCATTGTTTCACTGATTACAATATAAACTACCCCCCCTTCCCCTTAAGGCAAATATTGTTTTCTTTCATTGTTGTCCAAATAATGGATTGTCCTTGTTTATTAAACATGTGGCCAAAACTAAATGTCTCAAAAAGAGACGCGCTGAGACTTCCTATTAAAGCTCAAAGGCTTTTTTAAATGCTGCCATCAGCTCATAGAAACCACCAAATTGACAGAGTTTATCTAAAACAGGAAATGAGGACTTTACCCTGATTTGTCATATTTAGATTTGGGGTGCATTCAGTGTCTATATGGCCGAAATGCTCATCAAGATGGTCAGTTATTTACAAAACCTATCCAGTTTCCACATGTCACCTCACCAGTCTTCAGACAATACCTGAGAGTATCTGCATGACTCTTGAATAGTCACAAATTACAACATCTCCTCCACCCTTTTCTGAGCACCCAGCCTTCTAAAAGCCTAAAACTCACAAGGAATGTAGTTGAGTTGCTTCTCAATCAAATCGTCCTGAATTACATTTGTTAGAATTATTTCATCAGTCACCTGATAAATCTTAAGCTCTCGGCCAGTACTTTCGAACAAAGAGAGAAAATTTGAATGGAAACAACAAAAATAAGTTGCTTCAGTAGTGCATCTGACTTATTTGCTTTTCCTTAAAAAAAATCAATAAAAAGATTGATAGCAGAAATCAACTGAACCATCTAAACCACTGTTTACCGTCGCCTACCTTTGGGACCTCCAGTTTAAATGTTTCCTGTAGTTTTATCTTGTCATGATCCTAAGCCTCCATCTAATTTATTTTCTCTTGTTTCCAGGCCAGAATCCGGATCAAGGGACGAAGAAGGCCTCACTCGGGGAAGATGAAAGATTCAAACATTCACTGACTGTGTAAAAATGCTTGGGATAGTCATCTTCCGGAAAAGTCCAACGATAATCAAGTTTCAAGTCAGGCATTATGTTATTATGATTCCTCCTTAAATCTGTTTCCAAGAACCACTGATGCCAGTCACATGGTTAAGTTCATCTGCCCCTTCAGTGGTAAGAGTTCCACACAAGACTGTTTGATGTTCTTTGTGCTATGTAAGCGTTGTCCTTCTCATCTCTGATTTATGGGGCCAACCAGTCTTATATGTGCTTTACTGGTGTCCTTAGCCTCTACTACTACCATTGTTCATGCATTCAGCTAAGCCTCCTTTAAGTCTTTGGCTGTAATAAGGAGGGGCGGGGGGCTTTTAAGCACTGATAATGTGGTCTTTTCTTATCCTTCCACCAAAATAGTCTCTTGTATGCAGCACTGTTTTATTTTGCCATCAGTGTTTATTCAAAATTGTAAGTTGCATTCCAAAATCATTTGAAAACTTATTGTGTTAATATCATCTTTCCTTTATCTACTGTGATAATTCAGGTGTAATATAAATACATGGCAGGCCCATTAAAAGTTTAGATGAGATAGATGAGATATTCTTCCCCTTTTATAATGGAATTATAAGGGAACTTAGTTCAATTGATAGCTTTCAGGCAGTAAAGACATCAATTGATACTAAAACAGAGGAAAAAAGTGAGGGTTTTTTTAAATAGAGCAAAAAGGCTCATACATCATCTCAATTTTAGTTAATTATGCAAGTAGGCTGTTTTTTGTTTTTTGTGGGGTCCAGAAACTCACCAATTAATCAGTGGCATTATTCATATTTACTACAGCATTATGGTCCGTTTGTCCTCGATGATCCTACGAGGAGATGCACAGTGAAACAGTGTGTGCTTTAAAGGGTGTGTGACGTTGGTGTGGGTGGGTGTGGTGTCTTCGGCTTCCCACTCAGATCCAGATCTCAATGGCAATGTAAAAGTTGTGATTAAGAAAGAGATGGTGACGGCGTATTGCTGTTCTCAAGGTTTTTCCACCAGTAACTCTAATGCAGGGGGGGGCAACTCCGGGCCTCGAGGGCCGCTGTCCGGCAGGTTTTAGAGGAGTCCCTGCTTCTACACACATGATTCTCGTCAACACAACATCAGCAGTCCTGTGCAGAGCTGAAGCATCTTTAGAGGAGATCAGTTTGATCCTAATCAGGTGTGTAGAAGCAGGGAAACCTCACAAACCTGCAGGACAGCGGCCCCACGACGCCTGGAGTTGCCCACCCCTGCTCTAATGGGCACTGGAACAGATAGTGCTCGAAACATTTTAGTTTTTGGTGAGTACAGTCTTCACTAACAATCTCTATCGCTTCAACTGTTGACCGATAAACAAAAAGAAAATAATAGAAGAAATGGCTCATAGAGATGAATTATGATGGTAAAAGACAGTGGGCAAAACATCTCTGCTCTCCTGTTGGCCCAACGAGGAAAACATTGTTTGCATAACAGTGTAAGCAGTTGATAACAATCAGACTCAGCATGAATGACACAGGTATTAGGGTCACAATAAACACAAATCTAAGACTTTTATACCCATCTGGAATGTTCAGACAATGGAATGTCCTTGAATAGAGGGCAGTTTAACTTATTTTGTTTATTGTTGAAGAAGTGTCAGGTGATTTTTAAAAAAGAATCCCTGAATGCATGAGGGGTGAAACATCAACATAATGAGAAGTCTAGTCTGAGTTCCATCTAAATACATAAAACACTGTAACCCGGATTAAAAATATTTTAGGAAGTTACATCATCAGGACAGTAACAGCCATTGAGAGATCCCAGTAGTTGAGCTGCAGTTCATTCATGGCGACATTCTTAGAATAGTTTTTACCCAGCATGGTTTACAAAACAAATGGACCCTAAACAAAGTCTCATTTTTATTGTATCTAATAATAATTTTGAGTTCATGATGCTAAGAAATATGCCAGGCAACCAATTAGCTCCCTGCAGTTGAGATAAAACCTTGCCCACTAATTATTCTCTGCTCTTCAGGCAGGAATGTTTATATCCCATATCCTCACACTGACCCCTGACGGCCCCTCTGGGGCCAGAGTAAAGGAAATATAATGAAATTTCCTGGAAGTTCCCTCTGCATATCGCACAGGACGAGGGTGTCTTCCAGAGGACTGCATGAGCTCCTCTGTCAGACAGGAAGTAAAGGTATGTTTGCAAATATATTATCAGACGCCTACATCCAAAGTCAAGTGGTGCTCAAGGCTGTACTCACACTAATACAGTTACAAAGCAGATATTTTTGTTTGCTGATGGTTCATAAATCCATGAGAGCTGTACATTTTCAACAAAAGACACGTCTCGTGTAGAGGTGGATGACCAACAAAATGATTACTTAGTGGAAATATAAAGAACTGAATCACATATACAAAATGATTGTTTTTTTAATGTGAGGCAAAGATCAATATTTCAAAACACTGAATATGTCAGAAAAATTCAACTGACACATGAAGTTGTGGCGGAAAAAGATTTCAGAATTTTTACCTCAGTTACTCTGTAAAAAGTAACCAACTTTGTTACAATAGCTGGGAAACCCCTGTACAATTAGAATGAATTAATGCAATAAGGTATTTATTTAAAACAAAAATAGTTTATGTGAATATCTCAACTCCTCAGCTTAGTATGAGTCAGCTTTATAGCCACATTGTCACCACACTGCTACGCTAAAGACAGTGTTCATAGCCTAGTCGCACTGTTTGCTCAAAGGACTGTTTACTTACGTCTGAGCCAACATGACAGAGAGTAGAAGGAGACAAGGTACGTGCTGGGAGCCATGCTTCATGACCAGAGCAGGGGATTGGGGTGGGAGGTGAGGGATGTGTGGAAAATGCGGGGGCAGGGGTGTCCAGTCACAATGACTCCTGCTCAGGAATTGGACAAACATATTGAATTTAGGACCATCTTAAAGGAGCACAAAGGGTGCACGGCTGAGGGTAAATCCATATGTAGTTGGTGTATTAAAGGCGACCAGATGGGATGTAAACAACTAATCAGAAGAGAGGCTGTGTCGGAGGCAGTGAAAGTGCATACATCTAGTGCGTAGCGCATAGTTTTGGGCTTGCAGCCAGAAAAGTCTCCTCCTCTGGCGCGACACAAGACAGGAAGCTTGCATAAAAGAATAGGGGGACCGACTGCAAAGGACATAGGAGCCAAGGCAGGGGCTGAGACAGTAGCCACCGACGAGGTCGGAAGTTATTGTTTCAACTTGCAGGCGTCTACCTTGACAAGAATTTCAGGATTCTATTGAATGTATTGTAATCTCATATCAGAACAGGTATGGGATCACAACCATCGGCCGTTTAAATACTCACATGCAGTTCGTCATTGGTAAACAATACAACAATGTGGTTATAAACAGGTGTGTTGCTGCACAGAATCCTGCTCTTCTAACTAAAGATCAGAGGGAGGAGTGCTCTCAAAGTTCATTTGCATATGTGGCTGCTACTGTGATGCACTTCCTGGGACAGCCAAAACATCCATCAAGAGGAGAAAGTGTGGAATAAGACTAGAATTAGAGTTTACAAATTTCTAAGATTTTATTGTGGCAAATTTAACGGGACGTGGAATAAAGTTTGACAGTCTTTCTCATTAGTGTGAATGAATGTTTATCCACTTTAAAACGCTGACTCAGTTCATTGAGGTTTAGGGATGTTTAGCAATGCACAGCTCTTTAAAGGTCCAACTACACCGTTCGAATTAGGTTAAGTTCTGGACTTTTTTTTTGTCATTCTGCACAAATTTGTTGTGGATTCGTTACATTTGGGATCATACATCCATCCATCCATTTTCTTAACTTCTTATTGCCTAATGGTGTCGCGGGGGGGCTGGAGCCTATCCCAGTAGTGAATGGGTGAGAGGCGGGGTACACCCTGGATGGTCCGCCGGTCCTTCGCAGGGCCACATTTGGGATCATTGTCCTGTTAATGTCCTAGTTTCAGCCACGTTGGACACATATTTGAGTCTAGATTACTTTGAATTATAAAGGACTTTAATGGCTGACTCTACCTGTAAGTGTTCATTTTCTATGGCTGAGGACCAGAAAATGTCATCTCTGACACCGTTCTTGATTTTTTTGGGACGTTTGTTGGCGTTTGCTTTTTTTTTATTACTTTCTGAACCTAGGCTCTGGTACTATGTAACTTTTAGAGAGAAGATGCTTTGTTCATACTTTATCTGATGATACAATCATAATCTTTAAAATTCAAAATACTAACTGGGCCTGTAGTCTGACATGTATCTCGTAGACTGGAGTATTGCACAGTAAGGCATTGGGATGAACTTTCCCACTAGAATTTTGGCAAGTATTTGGAATATTTTCCACTTGTGTACAACCTTTCTCATTGGACAATGAAAGTTTATAAGGAAACAATTTTGAAATGGATTGATGACCTTTGATGACCTTGTATAAAACTGTTTTATTTGGTCTTCTAAACAGATCACAGATAGAAGAAATAACTGCTCAACATTTTCTCTCAGAATGTGTCTATCAACTTAATCCCAAATTAAACATATGTATGATTGAGGACAGCATTAAACAGATTACAGAATATACAGAATTCTGTATAGAAATGTTCTGTTTTAGAATATTTTATTAAAATAGATTTTTAGTTGCCCCATCCCTTTCATACAGCTGTAGGTAAATGTATCTGGTGCATGTTCTGTGAATGAATGGACTTTATTCTGTAGTGCTTTGAGCAAGTCTCCAGCTGCATCATCAGTTGTTCCACTTACATCTGACATTTTCAGAGTTGCCAGGAAGCCATCAGTGTTTTTTTCACAACACGATACAAAGTCTCACACCTTCTGTTATCGAATTGACCTTTCATCACTTGTAAATTCCACTTCATAATCTGTCCCTATTTTGGCTCTCCTTTCTTCCGTTTCCCTGATTTGCTGGCAATGAATACATGCCCTGTATGGTCTAACACAGCAGATTTTGCCCTGCAACTTAACCTTTCACCTTTATCCAAATTCTTCACTGTATATCTGATCTTTCACACGTTTACATTCAACAATAGCAACTAACCAGCACTATAAGTCAAAAGGGCAACTGCTTGACTAAATGATCAAAATGATAATCCCATCATATAATTTACCACTCAGAGAAAACCAATACATTAGTCTAGGATCTACATGTTCTATGTCCCTTGCTTTACATGCCAATCTCACATTACACTTGAGGTTGGAAATAACTAGAATCTTTAAATGTAACCCCATAGCCACTAAATAAGTGTACTTTAAGGGAAAATACCTTTGCAACGTAATACTTCTAAAATGAGATGAGGCTTTCATTGAGCCATGTAATTCCCAACACTTCAGTAATGGAATTGTTTTTATTTAAAAAAAATATATTTTTTAAATTGTAATATTGATCAAATAAATATTCAAAATGGGAAGCTTTAGTAAAACATGATGATGGAATATTTGCTGTCCTCTTTAAGCTTAACACGCATATGAGCCTGTTAGACATTGTAAGGAACACATGTCCAACTGAAGTATACGGTACTTGAAATTTGGCCAGTAATGTCACATTAATGGAACAAGTCATGAAATCTTCCAGGTTTCTGATCTGGGTAATCCCATTTCCGCCATTAGGACTACATAACTGTTTCTAAAACTGTTTCTAAAACACAGATTATATACATTACCACATAGCACTCCCATTCTTACCCAAGTGTGTTTATTCTACTGTGTTTGTTGCTTACAGGATATTCTATATTCAATTGTTAGATTCAATTAATTCATTTCTAAATGTGTGTAAAACCACAACAAAACTAGTTAGTGCAGGCAAATTATTGTATTTGATGAATACAGACCATTGACATCTCACTGCTTACAGTAATGTCTCAAGATTTAAACCACTTCTTCTCTACAGGTTCAGAGATTGTGATGAATACGTAAGGATATGCACAGCTGACAACACCTTTGTTTATTATAATATTTGACCCAATCTGTGATCATATAATATCTTATTTGCTGTATATTACCAATAATGACGTAGGGATAGTTACTCCACCTGGTCTGTTGTAAAGATGTAAAAAATAAATCCCTCTTTTCGAGGCTTGAATTGCTTTTTAGGAGATGTTTGAGTCATGGCACTCAACATCTGAGTCGCCAAAAGGAAAATTAAAACCTCTCTAGATCCTTTGTATTGAAATCCTCTTAAACTGCAGTTATTGCTCTTAGCAGTCCCTGTACCCACCTAACTCTGAAGCAGGGAAGAAGGCTTCCTAATTGTTGACAGACAGTCCACCTGTCCAGAAGGAACGATGCAAAATGTGAATTGGTCCAACAGTCCTGTCCGCCTCTTGGATCTCTTCTGTTAAAAAATATTTAAGAGCACACAACTTAAGGACAAAGTTCCTCCCAAGTTGTTGTAATTCAACACAGCTTGTAGAATATTTGAAAATATAAAATATTTTTCATTTTTCTGTCAAATGTTTACCAACCTGTTGGTTGCTGAGTTGTGTGTCCACTGTTCATCTTAGTCAGTTTGAAGCAGTCGTAGTCACAACATTCACACAGAGTACTGTCTCCCTCTATGGCACGCCAGCTACATGACATAGAAACATAACGTTTTGTTGAGAAATAGCATAAAAAAATTAAAAAATAAATAACCCCTCCCTTGTATATCAGTGGCTATGAAGCTGCTGGACAAAACCAGGCAACTTAGACAAATCACGAAGACTCAAAGGGGATGTTTTACATCTGAGCAGGCTAACCTGAAGGTGGGTTTGTGGAAGAAGCAGGCTTTGTCAACATAACTTTGTGAGTTTTGTTTCAGGGTGGCCTTAAGATGACAGCTGATGAAGATCTATTATAAAAAGGTAATCAATAAGAAATATTTCATCTGTGATTCACATCACAGAAAAATCACCATTTGATCATAATGCTGACTTGACTTGGCTGCTGTTTAATTACCTGTTGTGCAAATGTGTGGTTAAAGTGAAAGGCTTTAACACTGAAGCACAATCTGTTGTCTTGATTTCGAGGTAAGAACCTAGATGAGGAGCCTGGCAGCATGCTGTCCAGGTGGCATCTATAATGGAGGAGTTCACTTTAGGCATTATGAGTCCAATCTAGTCAGATAAATGTTGCAAATCAAATGAACTCAGTATTAATCTTAGAAATACATGTTCCACAGGAGCATTGCTGCTTTAATGTGTGCGTGTTTTTTTCAAAGTGAGAAGGAAACTGACCCATGCTTGGCGATAAAGTTGTAATTTGGCTGTGACAGAGGATCAGGATTCAGTGTAGCAACACAGTAGTCAACATAGAGTGTGAGGGCAGGGTGCGTCAGTGCCTCCACACTGGCTTCCAAAAACATTGTCTCCCCCTGCTGGTACACTGAGGAACTTCGCAAGGTGGAACAGCCATCTGTTAAAATAAGAAAACGAGATTACAGTCCAAGTTTCATTGACAATACATATATATATTTTTTAACCTATACACTGAAATTAAACGTTTTATCTAATGCAGCACATATTACTTTGACCTGTCATAACACGAAGGGAGAAGTGAAGAAGTCCAAATGCACTAATGGTGGATGTCATTGGTATCCAGGTAGGTTGCAATGGTTCTCCTCTCACCTTCTGCTTTCTTTTCTCACATACAAAGGGACAATGTTTGGTTCACTTTCTGCACTTTGAAAAGTTGACAGAATTACAATCAGGTACGTATGGGAACCAGACATTAACCTTACCTCTCATAATGGCACTCAACAGGTATGACCGTGGTCACCCCTCGGACGATTAGACTGCCGGCAGAGGTAGGCAGTGCAGCAGGAAACACAAACAGCTGGTTAGAGTACACAAGCCAGTTGCCATGGACCTGGAGAGCAGTGATGGTGAAACGAATGTCAACGTTAGCGTTACAACTCAAGTTGCTTGACCGTGTTTTAAAGTTGTACAGGTCCTAATTTTAAAAAGTTCTGTGAAATTGTGTGGGTCAAGACTTTTCCAAACAGTTTTTTAAATGACTCAATGCCCCTGGTAAGAAGATGGTGGTGTAGAGTCAAGTTTTATTTACAAGTTTTCATTATCAGTTTAATGTCTCTTACACTGGCCCAAGTCCCACATTCTCGTAGGCCAGCAGTGATGGCCATCGCATTTTCAGAAAGTCTCTTTGGACTGCAGGAGGTCGTTTGCGTCGAGTTTACTCCGAGTCGAAGAAGTTCGGATTTGAACGGAATGCGTCTCTCGTGGAAAAACTGACGACTCACGATTATTGTCAATTTAATTTCTCCGCACTGTATTTGTAGTCCTTTAAGCAAAGTACTTTGTTTAAACGAGAAAACGCTACGAAACAAAAATACAACCACGAAAACTTTGATTATTTCCGTGTATTTTAGTAATCTTGCCATTGCTGTGAATACAGGAGACTAGCGGGTACATTATTCAGTAATCAAGGATATTTTAGCCAGGTGTGTTGTCCTGTCGTGCTGCGTACACGGCCGTGTTAGCTCCAGAGGCTGTGAACACATATAATTGAAAGTGTTCTTTTGCAGGAATTTCATGAGGACAAAATACGTGAGTTGTCAGTAATTAATTCACTTCTAAATAATTTAAACGAAATGGAAATATTTTTTGTTAGTAAGAAAATGACAATTCATTAAACCCCTGAAGGCATCATCACTGTTTGAGCGGAACTGAAGAATGTAGCGAAAGCGTCCCGGGGAGCATTATTGCAGGTACACATAGTGACAAGGGTGAGTAGTAGTCAACTTCGGGAGTTCCACGTTTTTTATATAAACACTTAACAAAAACAATTAGTAAAGACTAATTTTGAAAAATGGCAGCAGTAGTACCTGCGGAGAAGATTGACTGGGGTGGTTGTGGAGCAGATGAGGGGGAGTTTGTCGGGAAGCTCGAAACTTTATCAAATGTGCACGTTGGCCTTCCGCATCCATTTACAAATCCCGTTAAATGCTCAACGATTAAAGGAGATTATTTGTACTTCCATTATGGCTGTGATGGACAAGATGATAGAGGCTGGGGGTGCGGTTACCGTACCATTCAAACCATGGCTTCCTGGCTTTGCTCAAACTGGACTCGTGAGAACAGTGGCAGACCTGTACCCAGCCTCCCAGAAATCCAGCAGGCCCTGGTTACTATGGGGGACAAAGAAGACTCATTTTCAGGTTCCAGGGAGTGGGTCGGAACTTTTGAAGCCTCTCTGGTGCTGGATTATTTCTATGATGTTTCTTGTAAATTGGTGCACGTCAGAGCTGGGGGGACTGAGCTGGAAGATGTTGCTGTAGAAGAGCTCCATCAGCACTTTGAGAAGCACGGATGTCCTGTCATGATGGGAGGAGACAGAGACAATTCCTCTAAGGGTGTATTAGGAGTGTGCACTGGAGACAAGGGGAGCTACTTGCTAGTTGTTGACCCTCACTACTATGGCTGTCAGCTACAGAGAGAAGAGCTTCAGAGGCGAGGATGGGTGGGGTGGAAACCGTTATCCTCCCTGGATCAGTCCTCATTTTATAACCTGTGTATGCCTCAGACTACCAAAAAGGCCATATAAGCTTTGTTTATAGTGGTTCTGTTTAATTATTTTGGTGGACATACAACATTTAAATGTACATTGAGTAGAGTAAATGTTAATGAGCTGCAGTGCCATCATGTGGTGAACGGCTGGAAGTACTTGTTTTTTGTCATGTTCGCCAATAAAACTTTGTTGTCGCACAAATTGACCTGTTAAGCATTTCTATTAAATCTCTAACTCAAATTTAGAGATGAAGTAAGATAAATAATTTCCCTCTGGGATTATTAAAGTATTTCTGATTCTGATTCTGATATATCAGAATTTTTGGGTTACGATTGAAATCTGAAGTGGCCAAAAAGAGCAGCTGTTGCACTTTATGCTGTCCATCGCCTCAAAACAACATAATTGAAAATCTAGAGCGCTTGTACTTTTTCTTTACAGATCCATTGGGTTTCAGTAGAAACTTGACAGTAACTGTTTTCTTTTATTTGCTGTTTTCACTTTGCTTCAGGGTCTGAAAATCTGTAACATACGCACTACTCTTCAGATTAGGCTTTCACTTTATGATGTGATCAGGAAATTAAAACAAAGATTCATAGCAGGCTCAGATATAAGTCTCCATTTTATTCCTTATCTGTGTTACAATTTAACCAAAATTTTAGCTCTGTGGATCTTTTTGAACTTCACCAATCTCAAACCTTTTAAAAATCAACAGTCCCATGTCTATCACACCTCAATGTTGAATTTTAAAGGTTCACATTTAATCTTAGTTATCTGGCACACAGTCATTGTAGAAAATCTGAAAATTTTTGTCCACATTCATCCTCCCTTTCAGGAATTTCTCCAGGTTCTTGAGTGGGACTTCCACCATGTGGTTGTTGATGCGATCATTCAGCCCATAAGATCCAAATACAGGGAACTTATAGCGCACAAAGTATGGTGCATTTTGGTCAAACTCTGTGCAGCAGTAAGCCGACCACATGTACTCTGGAACTGCCACGCGGTCCAAGTTGTTGCGACGGATCGTGTGTCCAGAAGTGGTCACCCCTGTGACCACGAAGGCTTTGCCACGGCAGTAGTTGTTCAGGCGTTTGCGGATGCGGTCCTGGTGTTCGGCCCAGGGACCCAAGTTGAACTCCCTGACCTGAGGTACCACGTTAGTCAAACTGTACGTAGACGCTTTGTCCAAAGGGTCAGCCTGATGCTCGTCAGGATTGAGTTGGCCGCGCTCATACTGAACCACATCAGCGTAGTCTTCTAGCACTGCCTGGCTGTCCTCAAAGTTCATGTGCATGCTTGAGGATTGAGGGAATGAATCCATGTTGCTGCTGCTTTTTTCAGATGCTAACTGAAGGATTAAAGAATAAAAGATTATATGGCTGAAAAGAAAGTTGACAGTTTTAGATGGAAAATAAAAACAATAAAAAATGTAAGTAATGAAAATTTGCATATATATTTGTATGTGTAATGCTATCTCCCTAAAGTGTCATCTCAAAGCCAATAAAAGCTTATCTCAAGGTGGCCTGGTTGCCTAGCAGCCATAGCTGCTCCTGCCTTCTATGGTTAAATAGTTACTTACTGCAGCAGCAGTTCATATTTGTTAGCTGCTTTCCCAGAAATTGGACATTGTTCATGGATGAGCTTGACGTTGTGCAAAATTAGTTAAATTATATGAAGTATCCATATCAATAGTGAGAACAAGCAATCCTTACAGATTAACGCTGAACAGTCAGGCCTAAAACAGACTGAAATATAAGCACTTTAGCATTTTGCCTTCAGACAAATCTACCTCACCTGAGGCTCAAACATCCAGGGGAAATCGACCTTCTTCTCGCCGTCTGACTTCTTGAACGTGTATGCGGAGTAGATGGGAATGCGTTTGTGGGGGTCATACAGAGTGACATAGCAGGGCTTATCCTCATACCTCTGGCAGATCTTCTTAAAGGAGTTGCTGAAGTAACCTCTTGGAGGAGTGCCCATATACAGGAAGTCCTTACAGCGCTCCACATGGTTAAAATCCCCCACTACTCCTGCTTGGACCCCCTGTAGCAGTGCACAGGTCAGCACGGCCGTAACAGCTGTCAGGAGCACAGCATGGTTAGCTGACAGAAGTACCATCGCTGCAGCTCACTTTTGTGTCCTCGTAGCCCTTACTGCTCCTGCTGGCACTCACCACCTGCAAATCTACTACTAACAGGTGCAGCCCCTGTCTCACTTCTATCACACTCCTTCCCTCATCTGTATTTCGAGTAAACCCGGCATGCTTTGTAAGGTCCTTTCCATATATTCAAATAGTCACAAGTGGTGTAACAGTAGCTCAGAAGCAGTGAATGTTATCAGTTTCTAAGCTGTAATCAGTAGACTTTTTTCAGAGTGCTGACAAGTCATTGTGAGAAGGTGCAGATGCATCAATGGTGGCTGTGTTGTATTGCTGATGAGCATTTGGGTTGATTGCCATGAATCACTAGGTGGTATGGTGCTAACCTAATTTTTAAAAAATCGTCACACGATGGTGACGATTATAAATTGTCAAGGTATACCTTTTTGCAGCCTTTTTTCTTTGCTTTTATAGTCTAAAACAGTGCCAAATAATAGAAAATATGTCCTCCTCTTTGAATTGGAGAAACGTGAAATAGATTTAGTCCCATTGGAACTGGTGGTGGTATTCTTAAAATTAATATTTTCTCTTTTTCCAAAATATATTTGTTGAACTAGATAATAATAGTCGTACATGCAGTGTAGAGGCCACAACAGTGTTTTTTTTATTCAAATAGAAGTAATCATGTGCAACAGCTTTTTTGAGTTATTGACTGTTTGGTTATTGAATATACATTCCTTTTTAGTATGGTTAAAATAATTAAGCTCAAAGACAATTTTCAGACAACACAAAACTATAACTGCAAAATAGTCAAATGGGCTACATTTTACATTAAAATGACCAGAAATGTCTACATGCAGAAGACTTGTGGTATGGGTTTGGGCTTTCAGCCCAAGATCGGATATTTTTTAAGGCTTCGAGACAAAGTGTGATATAAGAAGTAATTCACTCCAGACTCTCAGACAAAGAGCAGGTGAAATTGATATGTTAAAAACAGCTGCATTCTATTTAAGTCAGACGGTTCTACTGCCTTTGTGTAATCGATGCTGGCTGTTCTCATCTTATAAAAGTTGGCAAAAAGTGGGTTCTGTGTTCAACTGATTATCAAGTTGTGAGGTAATTAGAGCAGAGGAATGGATTATGGCTCACTCTTATTTTTCTTTAGCAATGTGTGGTTAATTTTTTTTATAAATAGAACATCTTAAACTATGAGTGACTTAAACAAATCTCCCAAGTCATCTCTGAGGATCTGGGAACTGTGTCCTCACTGGTTTACTATGTAAATTAGGACTTTTATCTTCCCTTTTACTATCATGTCAAATTGTGTGCCTTGAAAAAAGTTTGTGACCCCCTCAGTGCAATGATTATACCAACAGTCCAGATTAGGTTATGGTAAGAGCATGAAGGATGGCAAAATCCTGCCTCTTTTAACTTTAACTTAAATTTAACAGAGCCAATGGTAAATATATCATTTACAGCTGTCTTTTTCTTTGGAACTTCACTTGTAAACATTTTCTCATGCCGTTTGACTCACTCCTGGTGGAACACAGTCCCCAACGAAAATCTCAAAGTTCTGGTTTACAAAAGCCGTCTTTTTGAGGAACTCTTTCAGCTTCTGTACAGAGATTTCCACTACGTTGTTGTTTTCATCTTCATTTAGGCCATAGTGAGCAAAAGATGGGAACTTATAGCGCTCATGATAGGGTGTGTTGTGGTCATAGTCAACACAGCAGTAAGCTGACCACAAATAAGCTGGAACTGCGATGCGGTTCATGTTTTCCCGACGGATCATCTTCCCAGAAGTGGTGATACCAGTCACAATGTAGGCTGTTCCACGGCAGTAGTTGTTGAGCCGTTTGCGAATGATGTGCTCTTGTTGGTTCCAAACTCCGTTGTAGACCTCGTGTATCATGGGAACCACATTGGTCAGGGTGTAGGTGGAGGCCTTGTCATCAGGGTTCTCCTGATGCTCGTCTGGGTTCAGAGTACCTCGCTCATAATTGATGGCGTTTGTATAATCATCGAGAATTGCTTGGGCATCTTCAAAATTCCTGTGAATGTAACCATGTGGAAAGGGCTGCATCTCATCTCTATCGGAAGCAGTGGACAGCTATGCAAAGACAAAGACAAGAGGCAAACAAGGCAAGGACAATGACAGCTTTGATTAAACATCTGCATAAAATGAAAGAAACAAGACAGAGGACTCCTGTGTACCAGCTTTCGAGTTTCTTTTACCTGGGGCTCATACATCCAAGGGACGTCCACACATTTCTCCCCATTTGAGCGTTTAAAGATGTAGGCAGAGTAGATGGGTATGTGATCCACAGTGCTGTACAGAGTCACATAGCGAGGCTTCTTGTTGTAAAGTTGACAGATGTACTGGACGGAGTGGTGTTCCAGCCCTGTTGGTGGTGTCCCCTTGTAGAGGAACACCCTGCAGTCTGGAGACAGCTCCTTTTCAACCCTACCTCTCACTGCAGTTGGCAATATGTTGATTAGCAGCATCCCCATCTTTATCCAAAATGCCATAGCTGGTACAAGTCTGCTGTCTGACTGACTCGGAGGTTAATCTGCTGAAGGCTCGACACGTTGGGTCTGGTTTTAATATCTTAGAAACAGAGGAGTGTGTCTCTATGTCTGCTTATGGAGCTCAGTGAAACTGCTAACATATGTTTTACACAGTCCTCTCTGCTATCAGGGCTCAATATGCAAAGTAATACTCTTCTTACACCTCACCAGATCCACCCACAGGAAGAGGAACACAGGCACTAAAAAAGCCAGTGGAGATTCATCAGCATGTCTCATAGGAATGGGAAGGAAAGATTGATTGCTGATCTTTATCCCCTCCAGTCCATCTATCCAGACATTCATGTAAATGCCCTTGCATCAAAACAATCCTTATGATCAGCGATTGATATGTGACGCTTAGACCATGGGAGATATTTACCTATGTTCTATCAGATATAGAATGTCAGATATATAATACATGATAAAAATATACTTAATTGTACTTCCAGCCATCCATTTTCTGAACCGCTTATTCCTAGTAGGGTCATAGGGAACTGGAGCTTATGACAACACACATTGGATGGGAGGCGGGGAACCCCCTGGACAGTTCACCAGCCCATAACAGGGCCACACAGAGACTAACAATTACACACACTCACACTCACTCCAACAATTCAGGGCACTTTCATACATGTTGCATGTTATTTCTCTTTTATTCCAAGTTAACTTCACAAAATGTACAAAACAGAACTGTTTCTTTTAATCTTTATTTCAGTGAGTCCCAATAATACAATGGCCATATTTGAACTCAAACTTCCACCATTACCTCTGCTTCTTCAGTTCAACACTGGTCAGACTACTCCTCTTCTTCTTGAAAGTGTTTTCGGACATACAGCTCTTGTAAAAAATGATCATGTCACTGTCTATGTCAGCCTGACTTTTCAGGAAACTCTCCAGAGTTTTTAGTGGTACTTCTACCACACTGTTGCCAGTCTTTTCATTCAGAGCGTAGCCCCCATAACTCGGGAACATAAATCTTACTTCATACGGTGAGTTGCGGTCAAATCGTGGACAGCAATATGCTAGCCATAAGTGCCTTGGGATGGTTAGGCAGTCTCTGTTGTTCCGCTGGATGGTGGCCCCTGAAGTAGTTACTCCTGTCACAATGAAAGATTTTCCGTGGCAGAAGTTGTTTAGGCGTCTGCGGATGACATCCAGGTAGGGGTTCCAAGAGGTATCTAGAAACTCTGTGATTAGAGGAACCACATTGGTTAGAGTGTAGGTAGAAGATTTGTCATCTGGCTCTGCTTGGTGCTGGTCAGGATTCAGTGGGCCCCGTCTGTATTCCACAGCATCTATGTAGTCCTCCAAGACAGCCTGGCTGTCTTCAATCAGTGGGGGGGTGTCCTGACTCAGCGGAAGTGCCCTCATGTTACCACTCTCATCATCAGACACCAGCTGAGAGAAGAAGAAATTCAGATTTGAAGAATTATGTTTCACTTACTTTTTCTGGTAAGTTTCTGTAGCTACAAGTAATGATTAACACAGTTTATTTAATTTTTTTATGGATGTACAATCATTGCATAGCTCACGACCTACGGTAAACATGCACTCCCTCACTAGGACACTTTGGTCAAATTTATACATGCACCATGTTTGTAGGAAAGTACTATTTGTATTTTCCTACAAATGCTCAGCACCCCCTAAATAAGTGGTTGCTGAGGTTACAAGCAAGCTGATCTTAGTTAGGTTAGCTGCAGTTTTTATCCCTTTGTTTCTGCAGATGAATTGAAATATGAAAAATAAATACACACATGCTCGTACATCAGCAGATATTCTTCATAAGCAAAATATTGATGTTTTTGCAGTCAGTGCCCAGTTAGAGCCAACAAGTGGTAAGCCGAGCTAACAGAAAAAAGCATGAAATCAAGCTTTTCAGTCTAAAACAAGAAAATGTATTTTAAAAGTGTTAAAAGGGCATGTTTATATGATTGACAGTTTACAAATTGTATCGTTTTCCAAACCTCCGAAAATGAACATTTTCTTGAGTCAAATGTGAAACTATTTCTGTTGTCAGCACAACTTCGATCTTTTATGTTTATGCATTTATATTTATTTATTATTCTAAGCAGAAACTTCCTCCTTTTCACAGGCTTCATGGTAAATGAAATACTATGCTGGTTTACCTACCTGAGGCTCATACATCCAGGGTGTGTCCATTCTCTTCTTCCCATCAGACTTCTTAAAAATGTAAGCTGAGTAGAGGGGGAGATGGCTTCTGCTGTCATACAGCGTGGCGTAGCGTAGTTTGTCCCCATACTTTTGGCAGATCCTCTTCAGGCTTTCCCCTCTGATCCCTGTGGGTGGTGTCTGCATGTAGAAAAAATGGCTGCAGTCCTTGAAGCTGTGTGACACAGCAGCACTCACCAGGTGGGAAACCATCAGTAAAGAGAACAGGATGCAGGTAGAAAACAGATGCATCCTCACATAGCTGGCGCAGCTGGAACACTATATTTCCTGCTCATGCTCCATATAGCAGTAATAAAACAGTACTAAGAATGAAGAAATTCCATCGTGAGGAATGTTTTGTTATGTCTGTTATCCAGTATTTTGTGAACACTCTGGTAAAGTGCGCTGACAGCTGGAAGCAGACTAAGTATGCAAATCAACAGCGCTTCAGTGTGGATCTATTGGCTGGTTGCTTATCTGTTCTGAGAATTTCTGCTCTGCTATGCATCTCAACACAGGTGTCATTGTTCATTCTTTGATATGTGTGATTGATATTTCTCTGTTCTAACGGTGAGAAAGTATACTAGTGTTTGAATTCCTCTTTACATTGTACACTATTTAGCCTTTCTGCCACCAGTTGTGTTATAATAATTTTTCCACACAAATTCTGTTAAAAGGCAAAAAGAAAAACTTTTCTTGTCTTGTATGATAAAAGATAAGAGCATCCCTTATGTGCAAATGCACAAGCAACATTGAGTTTCTGAAGTGGAAATGAACAGTCTGTGCTGAGAAGGAAGCTTAAGTAAGTATACAAAGAGCAGAAATAATGTTTTATACAGCATGTTGCAAGAATCATTTTGAAAAAGCAAAAAATATTTACAATCAAATTTACAATCAAATCACACATTTTTGGCTTCACCATCTAAGGACAAAGTTAAATTTACCCCTGACTAGTTTATTTTTGGCATTGACAGAAACTGTTAGAATTTGTACAAAGTCCCAAGTGACAGTGGTTTGTGAGATTCATTTTGTAATTAAAAAAAAAACTTTAATTAAAAAGCATTTGCAGTTTTCTGTCTTGCATACAGTAGTTTCTGTTGTGGTCATTCTTCTTTGGCTTTGCAGGTTATTGGAGAATCATAGTATGTAGAATATGCATACTATTTTAAAGCTAAGTACTCTCAGCTTCCTAGAATAACAGCTATTTTATCCGACGTCCTCTCAATTATTGGTCATCTCAAGTTGTTAAATCATAGATCATTTGATTGCCCAACAGCGCCCTCTGCCGCCTTTTCTGCACAACTGCTTCTCAGACACCTACTGCACATGCTCAGTTGGTGCTGCTAAACTTTCAAGGGTACTGCTTTTTATCAAATCTTCTTACTACAAATTCCAGACGTAATGTTTATGAAATAAGAATTTTGCATGTATGAGAACAACTTTTACATGACAATGGCGTTGCTAGTTTTGATATGGCCTCGTAAAATGGTTGTTTCGGACGTATGCCCTTACAAGTAAATATAATGCATTAAAGTGGACTTATTCGGTGATATTGGGACTAATTAAATCCACACAGCGAACCCTCTCCGCCTTTCAGAACGCCGTTACGTGCCAGTACACATTAGTGTTCAGGCTAGTAAATAGGGGTGTGTTTGCCCCGCTACAACATTGGCCAGCCGCTTGTCAAGGTCCAGTCACGTGGTGTCACACGGACGGCCATGTTTCCGAAACACAAACAACAAGAGGAGCAGCGACTGAGAGCCAGCAGACACATACTGATACGCAGCAGCGGCCGTTGGTGGAGAGGGAAAAAATAATAAATAAAACACAGAGCACGACTTTTTGAAAGTACTATTCTATCGAATGAATACGTTTACAGTGTTTAAAGAGACCAATGCATACGATATATTGGCTGTAGACACACCGTGCAGACAACCAGTCTGGTAGCTATAAACAGAAGGTAAGCCACGGTTCCTCTTTGCAGCTTGTCTTTTCTGCTAACTGGCTAATGTGCGCTTACAGGCTAACCTCGGCTCATGCAGTTAGAATGGGTTGAATTTGTCTGCCAGTTAAACCGTATTCTCATTCAATTCGAGTATTACTGAAGCTGTGTCGACTGTACGGTCGTTTGTTTTGTTTACAGCGCATTAGCTTTCGATTGCTATCGACAGCGGAGCGGAGTTGGTCGCCCGCACATTGGCGGAGCAGGCCGGGGATTCTGATCCCAACTCTCCGCCCCCTCCGCCATCATATCTGGTGTCATTTGAACCTACAAGCCAAGGCCTTAACGATGAACGCATACCTTATGCTAGTTTAGGTACCCAACCGTTTGTGCACTGCAACTGAAACACGGTGCGTTGGAACTAGCATAGTTTTAAACGAGTGATTGCCCTCCTCCCATTAAACAACAGCCTGTGACTGGTTGAAAAGGCGAACAATGTAAAGGCTATCGTAGCTCGTAATGAGTAACGTTAGCTAATGTCAACACAAGCTATTTTAATGTTAGCCACCGTAAGAACCTTTTTTAACCACCTTACTCTTCGTAAAAGTTAAAAATGTGTGTGCGATGAATTGTAGCTTTAATCGGAGTTTACAACGTCATTTGCATCGGGTTGAAATCAACGTCCCGCCACGTTGTGATGTCCAAGACGTATGCAAATATTCAAATGTATCGGATAGATCATGTTTCTCCTTGTGACCTTGCTTTAATTTTACAAGTGAAGAAGTAGGACTGGACTTTTGAAAAGGTAGACAAGCGGGGTATTGGAAAAAAGAACAATGTGTTGTGGCGGTTTTCCGTGAAAGCGTTCTCCTCGAAATAATTATGCTCCATATGAAGCATTCACATTGCGGACTTTTCATTGTTATTGGTATGCTATTGCTTCCTTTTTAAAAATGAACAAATGATGGCAAAGTACATTGGTGGCAAGCCACTATGCTAACAAATTCCCAAAAGTGTGCTTTTATTTTATTTTACTTTGTGCCACCTGGGCCAAAGTCACTGTATCTCAAGTCTGCAAACAATCCCACCTCCAGCAGACTGACCCTTAAAGAAAGTTCTTAATTAATAGTCACTATGTATTGATGACAATCTTAAACCTTTTAAAATCAGTCTTATTTGTTGTGTTGCTGAATCTGTTTTGGTAAACTTCTAAATTGACAAATCTGACATTCATAGTGTGTTTTAAAGCATTTTGTTGGACACAGAGTTGCCATATGGCAATTGAAGATGAGTAGTCAAGATTTTATTTTTAAAACTCCCAAGATTTCTATCTCTGTTTGGCCATATGCTCGTGTATTTGTGTCGTATGAGGAGTTCAGTTGCTGTGTGTTCTGGTGGATGATTACCAAATGATGCTACTGGATCTGCTGGGGATACAGAACATGTGTTTTTAAAAATGATTCTTGGTTCTTAATTGGACAGGTCGGTAATATCATAAGGCCAGAAAACCAGCTGTGGGGTCTGCTTTTGTTGTCCCAGATTAGGTAGATGAAAATAAGAGAATTGTCTGAAAATACCTAAATGAGTTTGAAAACAAAGAAAAGAAAACTATTCAAAGTGAAAATGCTGCACATGGGACTAAACTATTTCTCCGTTGGACATGTCCCACGAAGAATCGAGTACAAAGCATCCATGTAATCTTTATTACACCTGTCCATTTTGTTTTCAAGGTTTGTCATGGCTGGGTTATCTTTTTACGCCAGCAATGTTTGAAAGGGTTCACTTGGCGTAAATGCTGCTTTCCTGCTTCTACATGTATGGAATTCCTCGGTGTCTTCTAGAAAAGTTGCAATACTGAAATGTAGTATTTGTATCCATGACTTTTTCCAGAAATTACCCCATGTCACCTGCATTATTTAAGAGGCAGGTTGTTTCTCTGTATTACTGAAATCTACTACATTTATGGATGAATTAACATGGAATGTTGTACTGGACTCAAAAGCGTTTTCACTTTTAAAGTCTATGCCAGTCTTCAGCTGTGTCTTTTCCTCTTAATTGATTTTTAAAAACCGAATCTCTTAACTTTTTATTTTTCAGTGGTGCAAAGGGAGGCGGACGAGAAATAAAGGAGTTACCTGGAGGGTCTCCATCCACATTTCAGCTGGAGTGAGAGGAGAAAGGCTCAGACGGGGAGAAAGAAAGGAGAAGAGGAGTGCAAGTCGTGTCTGCTTTGGCAGCTGTTCCAGCAGCCGGTTGCGTCTTTTTCGGCTGTCATTTTGTTCCTGCGTTTCTTTTTTTCCGATGAATCGGTTCATATTTTTATCTTTAATGTGAGATATAACTGCTGTAAAACAAAAGAACGAATACATTATTACTTCAAGAGTGTTTTATTTAGTTCCGCTGTTGATTCCTGAGGTTCTTTTTGTTTCTTGATTTTTATGTATAGCAATTTTTTTCGGCTGTGAGTAGCAGGAGCTTCCATTCTCCAAACTATCATTGAAACCCCTTCCTTAACTAGTTAGGACCTGATAACCTGGTATTCCTCAAGCACCTGAAACTGGCAGCTATTCTTTTTGTGTCTGTGTGTTTGGGGAGCTCTGAGACCACAGCTTAAGCACCACTCAGCCTTCTAGACACCTAAGCCTAACTAAAGCCAGCCTACTAGCCTGGTCCAGCCCAGTCCAGCCTGCTCCGATTATCTGGACAGGGTAAGGAGACTCATTTGATTCTAACATCCGTGTTTTTTTGGCAAAATAAAGCAGATTTTCTGTTGAACCCCTGTTTTTTTTCTCTCTCAGATACTCAGTTCTGTGTGGAAGTGAGGAATATGACTGCTGAGACTCTTAACTTCGGCCCAGAATGGTAATTCATTTGATTCTATTTCAATATGTTTTTTGAATATTCAAAAGTTTTACCTGAGGATAATGTATGTGATTGAAATGTGTGTGAATCCCCTGTAAACATTGTCATCAGTATTTGTTGGCTTTTTCTTCACTTTGCTAAATTACATATTGCATAAACCATATGTGTAATTTACTGGTGTCTGCATAAATTTGGCCATTTAACTCCTGTATGAAGTGGAGTTTTCAGACTGAGAAACAGGAACAAATGATTGCATTTAGCACAAGTTGTCATTAGATAGATTGGATAGGGAATAACCAACAAAAACTACCATCACATTTCCCATTAAGCTGCACATGTTTTTCTGTTTCCTGTTTGGACATTGAAGCACAAATGAACTATGAATGACAATCGGCTTCTTGAAATCATGTGTCAGCTCATGGTCTCTTAAAACACTTCCAAGCTGCCGCTTAGCTCTAATAAAAGCCAGATTTTTATGAGACCACATTTGGCGTCTGTCAAAAAAAAAGTTATGTACAGTTTATGGTAGTTGATCCTTTTTATCGACTCAGCTGCACATGTTAAACATACTTTGTGTTTTTCTGGGTTTACTTTTTGGAAAGCTTTATATTGGATCTAGTTGGGCTCAACCTTTAAGGTCCCTGAGTTTTCAGACCATATAAATGTAAAATATGTCTGTGAAGAAAATGAGGCCTGTTACCACTAGTTTGTTCTGAATGAACAGACCAGCAAACGTCACTGTTTTCAAATACTGTTTCCTTTCTTTAGCACCTCTGCTTTCATTTACTGTCAAAATGAAGGCACATGTCCTGTTCATCCCTTTTTCTTTCTCCCGTTTCTTCCTCGGTGGATGTTTGTGTAGCGATTAATGGGGGGCGTAGTCTCAGTTTGGTAGCACTCCATCTTTCTCAGCCTGTGACTGCTGTGCATTCTTGGTGCTCTGCCAGCCTCGCAGAAGATTTCCTTCTTTACAAATCTGCAGCTGCTTTCTTCTCTGTGTCCTTTTTGAAATGGCTACAGAAAGAGTTCATATACTCACCACATACAACTGTCTGATCAGCATTTTTATGAGCCCCTTTAAACCATGTTAACATGACACGTTTATTTAGACTATTTGACTTTTTTGGCATAATCTTAAATGACTGTCTGGTAATGATTGAATTCTTAAGCAACAATCAAACATTTACAATAGAATGGGATCATGAATGTATAGTTTGAAGAACTATTGAAGTATTTGGGGTTCCAGTCGTTGGGGAAACAAAGTTTTAATAAGGTGAAGTGGATACCATCTTGTTCCAAACTTTCCTGGTTCCTCCGCCCACTGGCATGTTTCCTCAGCTCTCCTCTCATTACACATTTTCATCGCTGCTCTGCCTACTTTTGTCTTCAGACTTGTTTAATGCCACCAACTGGCCTTACTCTGTGCTTTGCTGTACCTTTTTACATCCCGCACCCACCTCTACATCTGAGCTGCATATGGTTTTGATGTTGGGCCGTGAATCAATGACACACTTTGTAAAGGAATGTGAATGGAGCCATTGTTAAACAGCTGGCCCTGGAAGACCGTCCTCTGGTGATGACTTTTTAAACTAAAATCTGGAGATTGGAAAGCTTGTATACATCTGAGTTGGACCAAACTACATTGGAAGGAGGGGGTTGGTTTTTCTATATAAGGATTGCTAAATTTCTCTCTCTCTGCTGCAAGATGGATATGATTAAACTGTTAGTTTGGCCAGGGAAATTTAGAAGGATGTCCACAAAGGATAGACAGTAGCTCAGAACATGTGGTTTTGTTTTTCCAGTCAAAGGATTTCACAATGCTATTTCAAAATGATTTTTAAGCATGTTGAATTACTGAAAGTCATAATTTAAGAAGAGCTATGGACTAATACATCCGTAATGATTCCTCTGATCTTCCTCAAACAGGCTTCGTGCACTGTCCAGTGGGGGGAGTGTGACATCTCCCCCTCCTTCCCCCGCCATGCCAAAGTACAAGCTGGCCGAGTATCGCTACGGCCGAGAGGAGATGTTAGCACTTTATATCAAAGACAACAAGGTTAGTAGAGAAGAGCCTTATTGCACTGTTGTTTTGTGTGTCACAGCCATATAGATTTAAGCTGTTTTGATGAAACCTTCTCAGTAAAATGACAAAACACCTTATTAAGTCTGAGCATTGTTATATATCAGCTTTCCCTTTGACTGGCCAGTAATGTTTATTTAAATTTTTTGGTCATGATTTCCAAGATCGTTGCATATTCTTTAAGTGCTACTGTTCTTTTCAGGTCCCAGAGGACATGCAGGATAAGGAGTTTGCTGCTATTCTGCAAGATGAGCCCATGCAGCCACTGGCACTGGTGCCTCTCACTGAGGAGGAGCAGGTCCGCCCAAACACACGCTTATAAAAGCTGATACATGGAAATGTTCAAGTGCATTAACCTCAGCATATGGCATCTACAGTTACGCAGCCTCCTTTCTGAATCAAATTGTACTGTTGGTTGACAGATGTGCCTGTAAGCTCACATTCCTCACATTCTTTTCTTTTGCCTTTTTCCACTCACTCTTCAGAGGAACTTCTCCATGTCTGTGAACAGTGTGGCAGTGCTGAGGCTCATGGGAAAGGGGGCGGGTGGGGCTGCCCCAGCTGGAGTGGTTCGTGGACGAGGAGCCGCGCGAGGCGGTAGAGGTAAAGACAGAAATAAATGGACCAACCCAAGTGGAGCAAACGTGAAATCATTGATTTTCAGCTTCAGTATACTTTGGCTGTAACTACAATGGCCATTAAATTATTAATTATATTACATTAAATTATAACGGCCATTAAAGCCAGCAAATCAAGTGTTTGTTTTCCCTCATTCTTCTGTCATCTTGATGCAGCTCACTTCCTTTGAGCCTGCTTGTATAGTCCTTTTTTGTACAGCAACACCTGTCCAAAAGCACCGGGCTTATGAACTCACCTTGTCCACACAAACACACACACCACTCAACACATGCTTGTACAATCACTTGCTGTCCTGTTAGGTAAATATTTCTAAGATGTCGGATACATAGCCTCATAGAAGCTTATGTATTCAAGAGTCAGTTGGGCTCATATTTGCAAGTTTAAAAACAAGATGTTTCATCTCTGTGCAAATAAACAGGCCGAGGCCGGGGAGAAGGTGGATTCTACCAAAGAAGTATTGAAGATCCAGAGGTGGGCTTTGGGCGTAGTGTACGAGAGATACACCGCAGCCAGAGCTGGGATGACCGGTAAGAGGAAAAAGCCGTTAGCTTATGTGGGGACATTTCCTGTATTTTTCTCTATTTAAATGTATGGTTTCTGCTCATTAGATGCAGTTGATCTCACATTTAGAGGCGTCTTGTGTTTTTTTGTGTAGAAAGTCACTATAATACACAAGATCTGTGTGTATCTTTTCCATGAGTTTCCTTGATGGCTCAGTATTGGTGGGCTATTACTGCAGTCAAAGTTTTGGCAGGACATATACTTCCAGGAAAAAACTTGGATCCCGTTTTAGACTTTGCTTTTCTGTTTTTATCATTCAACTGGTGCAATTTTCTGTCAATTACCCATCATCCCCCAGGGGTGAGCGTCGATTTGAGAAGCCGCTGAGGCGGGAGGTGGGGCGTCCTGGCTTTGAAGAAAGTGGAGGTCCCGGGGCGCCTGTGAGGAAAGAGTACACAAGAGCAGACAGTGATAATTGGCGCACCCTTCGAGAGGAGCAAGAGGAGGAGGAGGCGGAACCGGGCACCAATTGGAGGCTTGCTGGACCACGCAGGGATGGTATGAAAAAATACCAAAGTTTAATCACTCAAGTAATTCCTCAAATTCTATGTACAATGCACAGGCTTTCCTAATTGATTTAGCGTCGTCTGTATTCTGAAGGCAGATTCAACTGCCAGGCTCTTTCTTCTTATTTTTTTTAAAACCCTAAATGATGTCATATCCAATTTCTGTCTAACTTGTTTCTTTCTGTAATCGGCATTGATTGTGTAAATACAAATTTTTACCTGTCACCTTCTGTAAGAATATTTAAAGTTATACAAGGTGACTTTAGTTATTATTTGCAATAGTAAAATGACCCAAGCAGTCAGAGTTTTATTCATTTAGTTGTTGTTTTTTAACTTATTTCTGCATTACAGCAGTCTTATTTCTAAGGTGCCTTTACTGAAATCTAGAGGAAGTAAGGAGATTTTGTTTTTTGAACTGACCTTAGTGATCAGTTCAGGAAGTAAGACATATGGCGGAAATTAACCGTCCATCTCTGCATCTGTACACTTGTCACTGCCTTGTGCAAAGGCTGTGAATACTTCTCATGACACTATTTTTGCTGATGGCTGCACATATCCTTTTTAGATGGTGGTCCTCGCTCAGCGGGCTGGCGGGATCACGTTGGTGAAAGTCGTCGAAGGAAGTTCGATTTTGACTTCCGGGACTCTGAGGGTCATGGTACTGGGCGCCGACGGGCAGGAAGCGAGGGGCTTGAAGATGACAGGGATGGCCTGCCTGAGTGGTGTACAGATGAGGAGGATGGAGAGATGGGCACTTTTGATTCTTCTGGAGCCTTCATGCCTTTGAAGGTAAGTGTAGTCAGATCAGGCTTTTGATATGCCAACTTGTGTTGCAGATATAAAGTAAGAGTGAAAACAATATTTTACATTAGAGAAATCATTTAGAATCTGCATTGGATAAAAAAATTAAAAAAATTAAACATTACAGGCTTAAGATAAGCCTTATCTTCCTCATTTTTTAGTTTTGTATTATTTGTTGATGATATTTTTTATCTGTGAGATCATTTATCTTTTTTTCTGATATTCCTGTTATAGAAGGGTGGTAAGGAGACAATCCCTGAGGAGGAGTTGGAGTTTAAGGGCATAGAGGAGGAGGAGGAAGAGGAGGAGAGCGTCCCTGACACAGACAGGAATGGTGCTGAAGGAGAGAAGGAAAAAGGTGAGGAGGAATTTGATACATTGCTGTCATCTTATTAAGGTAGTTTGTTATTTCTCTTAACATAAACAACAAACATTTGCTTCATCCAACTTAATCTGATGATCCATCCTTTTTTTTCCTCTCCCTGTTTTCACAGAGAGTAAAGATATCATGTCTGCTTTAGGGGACGATAAGACAAAGCCAGCATCACCTTCATCCTCCCCTCCAGCCCACTGTGCCCCGTCATCCTCAGAGTCTCATTCTGGCAGTGCTGGCCAGGTGGTGGATAACTCCCAGATGAGCAACAGCCACTCTGTGAAGTCCAACAGCACAGCTGGCGATGGTAGATTTTCTATTAGATGTTTTGTAACGTGTGAACTAAATTAGCTGCAGTATTATAAGTCTTTATTTACAGGAGCCATTTATTTTTAAGTTTACCCGTTCATTCATTCAGATATTTTTCCTAACTTAGAAGATGTATATTATAAGGGCCTCAGGGGTCTGATTCAAGATGTATCTGTTCTTTTTATTTATTTTTTGTTATGTATGAAACAAGAGTTGCTGAGGATGGTATTCAGCTTTTGCGGAATATGTTTACTCTAAGTCCATTTAATACCTTGGTAATGATATGGACATAAATGGCTCATTCTCCACCAGAAACGGAGGCAGTATGGGGCTCCACTACCTTCTTCCAAAATGACAGAAATACTAAAAATAGAAACCATTATTTACCTTGTATTTTTTCTGCTTGTTGCTTTTGTCATCAGACTTGGCTCCCATCGGGAGCTCCAAAGCGATGCTGAGCCCTAGTGTCACCACCTCTTCCAACTTGCCACCCCCACCCCCTTCCTCTGCTGGTCCTCTCCTCCCTCCCTCTGGAGGAGACACTGAGGATGATGAAGGCATGAAACACCTGCAACAGGTATGAACAGCAGCACTAGGCTTACATCATCAATTGAGGTTTTAATTTCATTGAGGTTTGACAACGAATGATACTAGAGAGGATTTTTCTGCTGCCATGTGTGTTTTCATAATGGACGGCCTGATTCCTTCATTGCCACGCTGAATTGTGCCAGACCTTCCCTGAAGAAAACTACCTTTAATGGGAACACATGTTGCTCTAAAACCTGTACATGCCCCTCAGCGTTGCCCCCTACATGGAGTCCATGGAAGAATAAAGAATATGTTTTTGTGTAGGAGGCAGAGAAGATGGTGGCATCACTGCAGGACACCTCTTTGGAAGAAGAGTGTTTCACCCAGGCTTTGCAGCAGCAGGAGAGCAGGAACACAGCAGCTGCTCTGCCACTGACTCATGAGGCTGCCATGAAGTGGTTCTACAAGGACCCCCAGGGAGAGATCCAGGGTAAACCAGAGCACATTGTCGCCTGTTCATACACAAACTAAAGTTAACATACTGTTCTGGTTGACGGATTCATTTAAATGTAGAGGTCGATATCTCTCTAATACACGGGCTCCTGTGTTAACAACTTGTCTCTGCCACCACACGCTGATCAGGTCCGTTCACAACAGTTGAGATGTGCGAGTGGTTCCAGGCTGGCTACTTCACCATGACCCTGCTGGTGAAGCGGGGCTGCGATGAGGGCTTTCAACCCCTGGGGGATGTCATCAAGATGTGGGGCCGCGTGCCCTTCGCCCCTGGGCCCTCCCCCCCGCCCCTGCTGGTGAGACAGCTCCCACCAACGCAGCGCTCGCAGCCCAACCGGGGTTCCGCTGGGACTGTGAGTCAGAGTACAGCCGACTTAGAGGGGAGGGGAGGGGAGGGGAAGAGGAGGATACAACTCAGTGGGCACATTCATAAACATGTTTTGATAACTTGAGATTGAATGCTAAATCAGGACTGAGTCATTGAAATATTTGACAGGCATCTTCCCAAGCTTTTCTTCAAAAATATTTTTTGTAAATGTATTGATAAATCAGGGCTGCTTATACATCAAACACATTCATGTCCTTTTTCTGCCTGTTGATATGATAGTTTATCCATCAGAAGTCATTACATGCATGACAGCTAAAGAATAAAACTATTGTTGACTCAGTTGTTTGGCTTTGATGTTGTGTTTAGTTTGTTCTCTTTTAACTGACTGTTGACCTTTCATCTCACATGTTACAGGGAAACCTGGACCAGGAGCGCCTGAAGAAGCAGCAGGAGCTGGCAGCAGCAGCTCTTTATCAACAACTCCAACAGCAGCAGCAGCTACTCCAGCTCATTAACAGGTGAGCACAGTGGATACAGGTTTCGATCGGAACTTTTCGATCATTTTCATTCAGAGAATTTGTTGAATTCAGAAGAAATTGACATATGTTTTGCTTTGTGTCCCAGGTGCGAGCAGAATATGATGCCTTCGATGAACAGGTCGATGTCAGTGCCAGATACAGGGTCCATGTGGGACATGCATACCTCAGCTTCACAACCGTCAGGTAGAATGAGGACTGCTTCTGTTTCTGCTCTACAGGATTGACTCTTTAAACAGACTAACAGAAATTTTAACCACTGCTGTTTAAATGGTCCCAATTCATTTCCATCTAGGCGGTGAAGCCAGTCTTTGGGACATAACAATGAATCCTTCTACTCAGGGTCCAACTCTCGAACAGCTTCAGAAGGTGAGTTTAGTTATGAAATGTATCATTTTATTGTGCTTTTTTTTATTGGATTGTGATGAGTTTAAGGATTAATCTAAATATTGGTTGCACTGCTACTCGCCCCTAATGATTGCTTCCATTACACCCGAGTATATTGTTTTCTCTTATTCAACTGTTTTCCCTCTCCAGCTCCAGCAGGAGAGACGAGACGCTGAACTCAGGGCGAAACGTGAGGAGGAAGAGCAGCGTAAGCGAAGGGAGGAGAAGAGGAGGCAACAGGAAGAGCAGAAAAGGAGGGAGGAGGAGGAGCTCTTCAGACGCAAGCAGGTGAGATTCGTCCATCTGCTGAGTCTTAAACTATAAGTTTAAAGCTGTTGTACATTTGTTCTATCTTTTGTGTGGACATGTTTGCCATGTCTTTTGAGGTGTCACATGGGGCTGCCTGTTCTTTCCGACAGTGTCGTCAACAGCAGGAACTCATAATGAAACTGCTGCAGCAGACCCCCCCGCAGCAGGGACCCGGGGCAGGCGGCTCAAGTTGGAGTGGGGCTCCCTCCTCTGGTATCACAAAGTCAGGAAAGCCCCCAGCTCTGGCTCTGCTGGAAATACAGGAGGCAGAGAGGCTCCTGAAGCAGCAGCAGCAGAGAGCCCAGCAGCAGAGAGATCGAGTGAGTTCCTGAGAAGTCGCAAATCATCAGCCATCATTCCGTGCAGTTGGAAAAGGTGAACACACACCTCGCATGTCGTCAGTCACATATTCACCCTGCTCTGTCTCTCTGTCTCCAGCACCCTGGCATGTCAATGGGGAGCTCCTCCATGGGAGGGCAGTGGGTGGAGGGTGTAGGCATGTGGGGGGGAATGGAGAGTAAGGGTGGAAGCGGAGGCTCGTCGGGCAGCATGGGCATGTGGGACGAGGCTGTGAAGAACCAGAGCAGCCTGCGTGGGAACAGCAACAACAACATGGGCTTGAAGAATAGCCGCAGCAGCCCCTCTCTCACGTATGTAACATCAGAATATATCACACAGGAGTCAGAAATGTTGACAGAGAAACTGTTTTAGTGGCTGTTTTTACAGATGCGAGTGTGACACATTTGTGGCTTTCAGTCATGATTGGTAGTGATGTTTTTTTCCTCCTCCTTGTCTTCCACAGTGATCAGTACATGATGCGGCGTAAGAGGACTGAGGAGGAGGAAAAGCTGCTGAAGCTGCTGCAGGGAATGAAGCCTCAGGACGGCTTCACCACCTGGTGTGAACAGATGCTGCACGCTCTCAACACCTCTGCCAACAACTCCTCCTCTTCTCTGGATGGTAACTGTCACAATATCAATGTGTGTGAGGGTGTTCAAACTCAGCTGATTGCTTTGTTCTTAAATCCCAAACTATTGGATATCACCAAGAGAAGCACATAGAAATTTGAAAATGTGTAAGAAACTTTTTATTTCAGCATCTCTTAAGGGTATGTAAGACTTTTTTACAAAGAAACTTATCTTTGTAATGGGACCACAGGCTCACCAATTGGAGAGATGTTCGAATTACATGTGAAATTTGCATTGATTCATTTAAGATGGGAATCTGTTTGCACAGAAGGGGATTAGAAGTCGCCTGAAAACACGAGTATTTGAAGTGACGAGCAGACACCATGAGACTGTCCATCGTTCAGACTCGAGCATATAATCATATAAGGGACTCATACAGTTATAAGATACATTTTTAAATAAACAGACACTTTTACATTAATATGCAACATTGCTAAACTTTATTTTAATTGTGTCTTTATTAAGTTGCAACAATTGTGGCATACCTGAAGGAGGTCGAGTCTCCCTATGCAGTACTGGATTTCATCCGGTCCTACCTTGGGGACACAGTGGAAGCCAAAGAGTTCGCCAAACAGTTTCTGGAGCGACGTGCCAAACAGAAAGCCAACCAACAGAGACAGCAGCAACAGGTAGACCTAATGTTATGAAAGAAAAGAGGTGCTGAAGTAAGCAACTTTTTGTTTGATTTGGGGGGGGGAGTAAAGGAAGTCAGCCACACACCCCCACCACAGAGAATTTATGCAAAGTCTTAATACTCCTCCTGGACCCGTCTCGTCATACACCTTCACGTGTTTACAAATAATCATGACATGTTAAAAATGGTGACTTTTTTTTCCTCTCCTTTCTTTGTTTACAGTTATCAAAGGAAGTGGGTGGATTGAACATGAACTTCCCTCTGCAGGTATGTTTAGATGGTTTCTTTGAGCATGTTTCCTGTACATGACTTCCCCCACTGCTCCTCCATGAGAACTCAAAAACCCTCATCAGCATAATCACTGTCATGAAACTCAGAATCAGTGAGCGGTTTGCCTTAAACATTACAGCGGCATTAGGAGATGAAGGATCTCAGAGAGAGACTTCTTTTACTCGCTTGGTGATCGGTTTGATTGTCTTAACTGTTCATTTTATTTTTAATTTTTTTGTAGGACTCAATGCGAGGTATGAATCCAAGCACCCTGCAGTCCATGTTTCAGGCCAACCACATGAGCAAAGCTGGTCTCTATGACAACCAAGGGGGGAAGATGAAGAAGAAACAGCCCATGATGCTGCACTCTGATCCCAGCATCTTAGGTAAGTAACTTCCCATTTTTTCTGCAAATGGTCAAGCTGTGAGCTGCTAGATTTGGAAATGATTCACACCAGGATTACACTCAACTGTTTTGCTTCAGACTGTTTGAATGCTCCGTTTTGGGCGATATTGCTTTTATTATAAATTTGTTCATAGCCTCGTCCGTTTCTGTCAAATCTACTTGTCACCCAAATATCAGCTTTTTATATGTAGCTTGTTAGTGAGAACACTAATTTGGAAATATTTATTCAGTTTTAGTTTCTTCCTTTTCTTACAAACTAGCTCCAAGAACAACAGAGTTGACAACCCTAACCCTTGGTCAAACTGTCAAAACCAGTCCGCCTGACTTTCTCCTGACGCGCCCCTCTCTGATCTGACATCACTCTCCTCTTTTCTCTTCGCCCTCATCACCCACCCTCTTCCTCCTCCCTGCAGGGTACTCATTCCACAACACGGGCGAGTGTCTGAGCCTGAATGAGATGGAGATGGTGGAGGATTACTGATGTGATGCAGCGCAGCAGCAATAGCTACCTGAGGCCTTTCTGTCTTTTAATCAGACAAACCTGATGACGAATGTGCACTGCTGGGGGAACCATGGGGGTGGAGTTGGGAGGGGAGCAAGCGTGAGGGGAGGTGCTGGGTGGAGGCGCAAAGATTTGTCTCCCATCCCTTTTTCCTTTCTGGATTGGGGGAAAAAAAAGGGCTCCCTGTTTCACCAATTGATCACTTGAGTAGGGGATAGGGGGTGAGTGGGGGTGAAGTAGAGATGGGTTTCCTCTGGCACTCAAAAGATTAAGCACCTTATACTGAACTAATGCACTTTATTGAGATGGGATTTGAACAGTTTTTTTTCTTTACATTTCTGTGCGCGAGTGAGTGTGTGCGTGTGTGTGTTTGGAATCAGTTTGCATATGGTATGTGTACCTACACATTATCTGTGTGCATCGGAACTGGAAAGGGGGCGGTGAAACAGTCGGTGGGGTGAATGGTTGGGCTGTTAAGTGTTCAAAGTCAGGGGGACCTTTAGTTGAAACCTTATCAGAGAGCAAATCCTTTCTCAAAAGACAAACACTGTTGATATTTCTCTTGTTGAGCTTTTTTTTTTTTTTTTACATTTATATAAAAAGTAAAGCTATTGAAAAAATGGATTATAAAAAAACTTGAAGATTTGCACTTGCCTAAAAAAACACATGACAAAAACAACAAAAAAAATCAAACAAATGGGTTAGTTCTAGAAGTGAATATTTTTGTGAATGTGTACGAGTGTCTGAGTGAATGACTAATGTGCGATGGTTTGTGTCAGTAATATACAGTCTGCACAATGACTTTTTTTTTTCTTTGAATGCTTACCAAGATGTATGAAACATAAGAGGCCATTTCGTCTTCTTTTTTTTTTCTACTTGTTCAGACAGTAATTTTGTATTCATGTTTAGCGTCTGTCTGTGTCCCTTTCCAAACAGGGATTTGATCTGTTTGTTTTGAGAGTGTGACTGAATTGGAGAGATAGGGCAATTGCACAAAAATCCTTTCTCTCGCCAGCTCTTCATCCCCAGTTAAAAAAAAAAGAAAAAACAAAAGTAGAAACGCATTCATTTGTAAATGTTATCTTTGTTCACATCACATGATGGCCGCCACTAGTTTATCACCCTCAGCTTCTCTGCCGTCTGCAGACCTGTAAGAACAACCAGACATGACGACTCATGAGGGACAGTAGTGTGTGCACCTGAATGAGGTTTTACGTGTGCACGTGTTGTTCATTTACTGTACATAGAAATGAGTTGAAACTACAGGTACTCATTTTGAACATGTGCTCTTTTGTATGTGTATGAATGCACATTTGTGCCTAAGAACTTTGATAGGGTGCATGGCCATTGAGACATTAACTCTTTTTGAGAGCGGGTGTTATGTGTGTCAGTGCTCAGCACATTGTATGTCAGTTTATATCGTAAATATTTGTAGTTCGGTCAAAGGATGATCCATCGGAAGGTTAGTCCAGTGCGTTTTTCCCTGGGGTGTGATCACGTTGCCTTTTGTCAGCTCTCGAACTCGTGAATGAAAGGTGTCGAGTTTCTGACTGGAAAAACAAACAACAAAAACAAACAAAAAAAAGCAAAACATACAGCATCTTAATGTGCAAGTGCACAGACTGGTGCATGAAATGTTAGCATATTGTGTTACTTATTCGTTGTTGCAATTTGATAATGACGAGTTTTCTTTTTTTAGATGAAAATATATATGGAATATATACATTATATACAAAGTTTAAAAAGTATTTGGACTAAGATAATGAGCACTTGGGGCTGCTATTTTTGTTGTGTGTTCTAATTTTTTTCTCTTCTTAATTTTGTTTTTCATTTTTTGTTTCTTTATTGCCATGTGAAGTGTGTTTTTTTTCTTAAGAAAATATTGAATGTATTCCAAAAAATGACAAGAAACCCGTGCTGATACAAGATTTTTTTTCCTCAGAAGATTTAAAAAATGGAAACAAAATACAAAAAAAGAGAAAAAAGAGGTTCAACCTTCAAAGAGGTTTTCATTTTCACAACTGAGAAGGAAAAAAAAAACTCGGGATGGATACAGTTGAACACACTGCCTCTACAATCCTGGTCGTAGTGACTCAGAACTAAAAGAAAGGACTCTATCTATTCCATACTGGAGCTTTGGTTGTTTACAAGCCACATGGATAACTGTGGGTGCAGTTTAGTTGTAGTTTTTCATGACTATGTTTTTGTTCCCACATAAGGCGGGTGGGGTTCGCAAGTGCGCTTCTGCCATATGGACATTGAGTGGTGGTGTTTTGTTTTTTTTTGTTTGTTTTGTTCTAGTTTTTTTTTTCTTTGAGGACGAGTTGCAGGCATCACAACAGCATGGACAAGCTCCTGGAACTTGGCCTTTTGCGATGCCTTGGGTTACTGGGTTTCGACACTTGTTGAAGAACCGGCTTTGTTTTTGTGGAGAACGGAGCGCAGGGCGGCGTAACCCACGAGGGAACTGAGAGGGCAATAGGAGTACACCTGGCTGTGCACTCGTCTTTACCTCAACCCTCACGAGCACTCGCACCTCGCCCTCACCGACTCACCTATGCACTTTTGTTCATTCAAGCTGTGAGGTACAATTTTGGGGATGGGAGCACAATTACAACAGGAGGATTGCTACGACTTTGACAGTCACTGAAAAGATATTCCCAAACTGAAATAAGAGACTGGAGAAGCCCATCTTCTCTCACCTCCTGTACATAACCATATTTTTGTATTACCTTTCAAGAGTAGAAAGAAAATTTGCAAATGGATGAAGGAAAATTCATAAGACCTTGATACTATGGAGTGAATGTTCTTCATGAAAAAACCAATCTTTTTCAACTTAGTTTTAAATGGACTTGCTGTGAGTTTCCCTCAGTTTGCCAGTAACTTTGAAATAATTGGATGGAAGGGAAACCCACACGGACTGTGTTGGACGTGCCGCAGCCGATTCAAGACTGACTGACTGGTTACTCGAAATGGATGTTGCAGTGGCCACAAAATAACCCTCCACGAGTGTTTCATTAACACACAGTAAAAAGGCAGACGGGTTAGAAGAGCTGCCGGCAAGACTGCTTTCCATATGGTCTCCCAGTCTGATGACTGCCTTGAGAAATGCAGAGTAACCCAAGAGGAGAAGTGTATGGTAAGATATTTTTGCCTCAATTTCTTTCTCTCTGCTGCGTCCGTTTAAATTGGAAGCAAGTATGTTGCATTTATTGCTCTCATGTCTCGTGCTTTTCCTTCTCTCGTAGGAGTCTGGCTGTGCTTTATTTGCTGCCCTCCGCAAGGAGGATTTGTATCCACAGCCAACCCATGAATCAGTTAAACTCAACCTGTCCTCTCGAACTTAAACCCGAAGACACTTGTCACGACCTCAGACTGGGCGGTCCATTGGCATTATCAGTTGGACAGTTACCAGATGAAGTTGCAGGTTAACACCCATTCAGTCCCCCCCTGAGCTGGAAGCGTTGGGTGCGGGATTTGCGCGGAAGCTCGCCAACAAAGAAGTGGGCAAAAAGACGCGAGCAGCCAATATTTCACAATCCATCTCATTTGAAACTCTTGGGTGGTGTGAAGAGGTCTTTCTACCAGCCAGTGGAGGACCCGCCCACCTGCCCAGACCTCAAAGACTGATTACTTTGGTGGAGCTATGGAGGATGTGGCTGATTTATATCTCAGCTGGAAGAAGTTATGGAACTGGACGAGCGGAGAGAATTGTACAGAAAGACTCTGACACATGATGCAACACAAAACATGTCGCAGAAATTCTCGAGTCCAAAGGAGCGGCATTCACACTACATGCACACACACAGCATAAAGTCACATTGGCTCCCCACTGGAACCATGTCCGCACACATAACAAGGATACACAAATAGCAGACCACATAAAGACACACAAGCATCGATGCTCACCAGTATACACCAAGAGCTTTGTAAATAATGTAAATGTTTGAGTTCTGATTTTCTCTCTAAGTTGAGTTTTGCTTTGTTTCTCTGTTCAACATGCCTTAACTTGTAAAGTTCTGTCTTGAAAGGCTAACTGATGTTCTACAAGCGATATATTTGAGTTGGAAACCACCTCGATAACTGTACTCAAAAGTTACAGAAAGGTTCGAACAAGACTTTTGTCTTTTGGCCAACAGAATTGACATGTACAAACTTGCTACTTGTACGTTGGGTCATTTAAAGAGTTTGTAGTTCACAAAGAATAGAACAGCAAGTGTTTTTTGATCTAATTTTGGTGGTGGTTAGCTTTTGTTGCTCTTTTGTTTTCATTCAAATGAACAGTGGGTTTGTTCAGAATTCCTATTTAGATGTCGGGGATGCAGGCTCCAAGTCCTGAAGTCTGCACCCCCTGGAGCTGAGCTGATTGGGTCACACCAGAAGAATCGTTGCTGTGCTACCACTGTGGGTTGTGTCACTTTGGGCAAGTCAGAAATCCACATTTGGATCTGTAGTTAGTTTTCCCCCCTCTCTTCCCTAGGAGACTTGAAGGATTTGGTTGATAAAACAGAGGTACTTGTTTTCCCCCTTCTTAGCTTTGAGATAATGACTGGGGTTTGTATTCCAGCGAGTGTAAGACCAGGCATGTGCGATTGCTTACGTTTTTTTAGGGTTTTGTCACCTTCAGGTGGGCGTCCTGCGTGTCCCTGGTTGTGCAGCTGTCTTACCGTGATGGCACCAGTTAGATGCAGTGGAATTATTGGACAGTGTTTTGTGCAGTGTATTTAAATCAAAATTGATTCAGAATATTCCAATTTTAGACTGATCAATAGTTTTTTTTCCCTACCCATGATAACTTCATAATGCAGGTTTTAATCCAAATCGCTTCTGATATTAATGACATACCATCAGACTTGTGTTTCCCCGCTGTCTTCTGGTTTGTTGTGCGTTTGTACTAATTTGTCGACCCTAGCTAAGAGTCTGAACTGAAATAGCTGCAGTATGATCCAGCATGACATAACTGTTGAGGTATTGCTGGTTGGTATAGGAATATTTTTGCTTTGAATTTGTGACAATGCAAGAAAGTTTTCTATTTGAGGAGGGCTTCAAAAATACTTTTTTTTTTTTTTTTAAGCTGATATTGTGTGGTATTATGGTGGTGACTGTATATTCATCTATCTGCACTAAAAAGGCTTTTATCACAAGATGAACAGCAACACTGTTGTCGGACAGCCCATGATGACTGCTTTCTGAAAAGGATCCAGTCCTTACAATTCGACTTTAATTCTGCTCCACTCAGCTCAGCTCCTTTTTTGTGGGAAAAAAGGTTTTTGAATGTTGTTAAAATAACAACTTTTGAAAATGAATAATTGAAAATGTGTAAATAGTTTTGCTCCTGTTTGTTTGAAGAACAAAATAAATACTAAATAAATAGCATTTAGCTGTGACCAATTCTGTGTTCTTTCTTACTGCTGTGAAATAAAAGTGAGCATCATCATGTCTACAACCTGCCCTGAAAAGGTCTGAACTGAAATCTCGCGATAGTTGGAAACACATGGCCGCCTTAGTGTTTACAACTTCTCGTTGTGAGCTTGTGACTGAAACAAACTTCCCCTTCAGGATGTTAAATATCTATGTGAATTATTTGACTTCGCTGTAAGTGCGTGACGTTTTGCAGCCGCCGAGGAGGACAGTGCAAAACTACAAACAAAACAAGCGGCCAGGCAAGCTACAACGCGGGTATGTTGGCACAGAACAGGCTAATGCTAATATGAGCTAAAGGGAGGTGATTGTCTGCTTCCATCGTCAATATACGGTTAAAGGAAAGAGAGCCTGTTTTGTTTCCTGTCGCTGCTTGATTTGTGTAAAGAAAGCATTGCCTGTGGGTCTTTGCGTTTATTGTTTGCGCCGCTAAAGCAAACACTGGCGTGAATGCTGGTTTGTGCCTGGCTCGTCACGACTAGCCACAAGTGTTTGCACACCTAGTTTGGAGTCGGTTACCGTCTTCCTATTCAAGCTGTTTACTTATTTTATATGAGTTTTGCTGCAAACGTGCACTTACAATGCTGCCGTGTTTGGCAGATGCGTTTGTTCTTTACAAATCTGTTCTGCCTTGCCGCCTTACTGTTTTGCAGGCGGGTGGGTGCTGTGATGTCCTCAAACCCCAACAGACTCAATCATCCACACTGCAGGAAGAAGCACTATCCTAGTAGCACTTACCTCACCCACGTCTGACAGCCAACGAGCAGACACAAAGCATTTGGATCCCGTGAAGAGTGCTGGACAGAGATTTGATTAAAAAAAGGAAATATGTCGGATTCTGCTGGAGGCAGTGAGAGTGGAGGTGTGGGAGGTGTAGGGGACTCTGAGGCCGAGAGCGAGCCCCCTCAACAGGTCCCACCTGTACCACCTGAGTCTGGCCGTGCTGAAGTAGGGGGGACCTCAGAGGAAGGTGCCCCGCCGTCTCCCAAGAGATTCAGAATGAGTGAGGAGAAAGAGGTGCTGGATGTGACTGTGGAGCCTCTAAAAGTGCAGAAACCAACGGCAGACTTGTCGGAGCAAAATTCCACTTCATCTGCACAAAGTACAATACCGATTTTATTATCTTGCATATTACGGACCTTCAATTTAAGATTTTTTTTGGTTGAGGTTGAGATTGCAGTTGATGTGCATTCTATTTACAGGAGAATTTCTACTAAGTGGGGAAGAAAATCGAGGAGAGGAACAAGTTACTTTGCTTGATCAAGGTGTTGAAAAGTGCCATCAGAATGGAGCTCAAGACCATGATGCCAATGAAGAAGACTTGAGAGCAGATGAAGAACCTAATGGTAATGGATCTGCAGACAGCCCTGGTGTCAGCCAACAGTAAGTGAACACGAGTTTATTTTTAGCCTCCATGCACTTATAACTAGGGTTAAATATACTGCAGCATAATGTCAAGAGGGCTCTTTCAAGCAGAGTTGAGTTGAAAGCATGTCTGTTGGACACAGTAATAACCTTTAAAAAAGCTTGAAAAGCGTTACTTCCGTCTGCTTTTATTCATTATTTATTATTTAATGACCATATGTGATAGATCAGTGATAGTTTGTCATTTTGTAGTCAAGCGTTCAAGCTATCAGTACTGATGTTGCATTTGACGTTGTTAAGCCTCTTCTTAATTTTGTAATGGCACAAAAGAAGCGTCCCTGAATTAACTAATTGACACTGTCAATCGTTTTAATGGCAGAATCTGGAGATTAATAAAAAAAAAATTGTAGTTAAGCTGCTGATGTGTGACAATTGATTAACAATTGACTAAGTTCTCACTTTGCATTGGAGTGAGTTTAAAGGTTACTTTAATGTAAGATGCTTCAGTCAGCAAAGTGGCAGCAAAACATGGAAAGCAGGGATTTTAGCATCAACACATTAGGTTTTATTTGGATCCAGTTGTTTGGTCAACATGGGTAAAGTGGTCCCCTTTATTTCCAGTGGAATAGATGAGCTTTTGGGGGCATTATTTGTTCATCTATTGAAGTCTTTCACTGAGGGCCTGTTCTTGTCTCTTTGTTGCTTTTAGCCTTGCCTTGGATTTTACCCAGAATCCTCAGATGCTGACAGGTTCCTGGGCAGAATACTCAAACTTCCCAGAGAATTACCTTAAAGGCTGCAAATGGTAATATCCTTTCAAATAAACAGGGCTCAGAGAACAGCTAAATAGATTTTTGGTGCATTGTGTAATTTATTAGTTCTGTGATCTGTTTTCTGATTTCCATATTTAAAGCAAATTTGGCTGAGTGATTGTCTTCCTCACAAAGATCAAAGTGGTAATATTTTATTTGTGGCTGAGGAAAGTGAAGTGTTTTTTTGTATGTGTATGCTGTAAATGAAAGCTTTAGTCCAAGCCACCGACATACTACAGAGCATGTTCTGAGATATGACCCAGGTGTAAATCACATGTCACACACATGTGAAACTCATGCGCTCCGTTTTCTTTGTTTGCTTACTGCATATTGGACATGACACAAATGTGAGTTCATATTCCTCTCAGCTAAAGGTCAGCGCGCCTTCTTTTTTTCTCGTCCACCCTCTCCTCCTGACTTAGGGCCCCCGACGGTTCCTGTGTCCTGACCAACAGCGCAGACAATGTGCTCCGCGTGTACAATCTCCCTCCAGAGATTTACAGCTACAACTGGGACTTGCTTCCTGAGATGGTAAGCTTCTCATTATGGATCCTCCTGTGTGGAGGAAGTGCCCCTTTAGATTTTCAGCTTTCATGTTTGTTGTTATAATCAACAATGGAAAAAATATTCATTTAGCCATTAAAAAAAACATTACTGAAGATGTATTAGCTGGAAGAAAGTGGACATTATTTTTCTTTGCTTTGGGGAAATATCAAGTGCTGACTTAATCTCCTCATTCTATTACGGGCTGGTAGATTGGGATCACTGAACAAAAATAATTGAAACAAAATCCATTTTCCTGCTTTACAGACCTTTCACAGCCTTCGCGATAAGGCTTGAAAATGAAGCATTGATTGCTCTGTTTCTCTAACGCTGCCCCTTGTCGTCGAGTTCCGCTGCAAATAAAAGCCTGTGATTCTCCTCCAGCCACCCACAGTGGAGCTTAGTTAGCCCCTTCAGTTATTGAACAACTTTATATTTCTGCTGAAACCAGATGCAAGTACACAGTGGGATGATCTGTTTTTATTCGCAGTGTCTCAAGAATGTATGGATGACATGAGTGAATGAGCAGATCAGAAACATCCCGGCGTGACAGAAGAGCTTGAAGCTCCAGAAGTTCTCTGGAGAACTGTGTGCTGTTCTCACACACTGTGTCATTTAATCATCTTTGGATTTATGACTATTTACATCACCGGGGAAAATTCACTGGAAGTCAGGACCTAATCATCCAGACACTTTGGATCTCAAATGCAGCGTCTTCCAAGAAAAGAAAAAAAACAAAAGTCTTAAATTTCAGGACTGCCCAGCATCTGTAAAAACTATTTCTCGCCCTCAGAGGGATCTTCACTTGTCAGCCACATTTGGGGAGGGGAGCAGGGTGTTTGAATTCCCTTCTGTTTGCCTTAAAATTTGCCTGATGGGGGATCATAACAGTGCAGACATTACTCAGAGGCTCCAACTTGATAAATAATAAAAGTACCAGATATCTTTTTTTTTTTCTTTGCTCCTTTCTTTGATAAGCCCCCAGCTATAGTGTTATGTGAAAACCAGAGAAATAAAATGAGTTTTATTTTTGCCTCATCTTTAAAGCGGTGCTTTTCTGCTCCCCGTGTGTCAGAGTCCAGTGCTGAGGATGGCCGAGGGAGACACCGTCTATGACTACTGCTGGTACCCCAAGATGAACTCCCTTGATCCGGACACGTGCTTGTGAGTTGAACCTGTTATTGGGTAAAACATCCCGTAAGCTCCCAGCAGCTGGTTAGATGAGGGGGTTTACCACTAAAGACGCTCTAGTGCTGATGCCACAGCCTATTTTAGAACCAGTTGTTAATTTTTGAACTGATCCCAGGGTCCATCCTATGTTTGAGGTCCTCAGCAAAGATTGACTTCTGAACATGTCTGTTTAAAAAAGCAAATCAACTACTTGGTGAAGTGCATTAGCTCAGCATTCCTCTCATTCCCCAGCAGGATATGGTTTAGGTTCACCACTTACCAGCATCCAGCAGCACCCAGTCACCTTTAGCTGACTTTATAAACTACGTTTGCAGTGCATTTTTCCTCTGAACTTTCCTGCCAGATGGGGATGGTGTGAGCAGCGGTGGCACTGTGTTTCATACTTAGTTGTAATCCAGATATGCATTAAAAAAAAAGAGGAAGGGGAAAGTTTTTCCATGCTTGACTGTCCACATTTCGAACATCCTGGTGTGTCATTCTTTGCTCTCTGTGGTGTTTGCGCTTGTTACTGGTGTCTGCTCAGAGCGTGGGCCTCCTACTCCTCACAATCTGCTCGACTGTTGGAGGCCCGCAACACAATTCAGCATTATTCAGCCCACTAACAGTCCTCGGGAGTCCCAAAGTGTATCACTTTTCCCCAATCCAAGGCTTCTGTTTTCATTTTGCCTGACATTTGGCTCCCGCTTGTGCAGGGCGCATTTGCAGCGACATCCAGCCGGCACTGGGAGGTGCTGGTCAGTGCCGGCTAGTGGGTCGAGGGTCGAGGCTGTGCCTAGGGGCAGAGTTCAATCTGCCAGCAGCTTTCCTCTGCGTTTTTTTTCCCCCATTACCCCCAGCTTGCAACTTCCACCCTCTGGAAGACCCCTGTGATGGAGCCCTAGCACTGCCAGTGCCTCACGCTAACAGCAAGCACCCTTCACTCAGTAGGGGCGGGGGATCAAGGGACGAGGGTTGTGTCTGTCAAAAGGAGCAGCAGATGCCCCCCGTGGGCAGTGGATCCCATCAGAGGCCTGTGTCAGCCAGCGAGTGGCTCGTCATGAGGAGCTGACAGCCCATTCCCCTGATTATCTTCACCCATCAGAGCGCCCGCCCGCAGGGCACAACCAGAGAGTCCGACATTCCATGTTGTTAAGGGCTCCGGCAGCCTGATAAAAGACGGGTGCTGTGATTATTAAAAACATCCACGACCGGTCCAGCCTCCCGCCCGACTGGATCTCCCCCTTATATTAGGTAGCGTTTTGTTTCTCTGTCCTCCCCCTGAGCTTCTTGAGCTCCTTCTGCCAAAAGCTGTGTGTTGTTGATGTCCCTCCTGTAGAGAGGGAATAAGGGCCCCTGTTATGGCTCTGTTTAGCTGCACCGACTTCTAGGCATCACTCCAAGGTAGCAGCAGTCTAGCATTATAATTGGGCATTTCCCTTCTCTGGAATAAAGCCACGGCTCAGAGGGGCCATAACCGAGCTCTGCAGCAGGAGCCCGGGCTAATTTCCTTTGTTTAATTGAGCCGCAGTGATGTCTCTGCATTTGTTCAGCGCCCAGTAATTAGAGTTAAAAAGGCACGGCTCGGTCTTTGGCCCCGATTTGGATCGGTAAGACGTGCGGTGGTCTTGTCCTTGACGAGGAGCAGAGCCCTGTGTGCGTTGTCATGGTAGATGTGATGCAAAGAACATCCTTTAGAAAGATGCTGGCAGCCAGTTTGTATCCTCATCTGCTTGGTTCTTCTTTTTACGCCGCTCCTCTAGTTTTATAGTTCGATTTTATTCTCCCTCCGCACACTCAGTGTTTTTATGTGCCGCACCTGTAAAAATTCTCTCATTAATTACTAGTTGTCCACAAACTCCCTTCAGGACAGACTCCTTTGAGAGCTCTTGGTATTTATCAACCTGCCTCTTATAAACTATTCCCGGCGGATCTTTTCTCCTGTACGTGTTATTAATTCAGTGCGTTTGCCTGTAATCCATGACTTTTATTTGTTTTTTCCTCCCCTCTCTCCTCTTCTGAAGTCTAGCCAGCAGTAGCCGTGACAATCCAGTGCACGTGTGGGATGCATTTTACGGGGAGGTGCGAGCCAGTTTCCGACCCTACAATCACCTGGACGAGCTAACGGCGGCCCATTCACTCTGCTTTTCGCCGGACGGAACACAGCTCTACTGTGGCTTTGACAAAACTGTCAGGGTCTTCTACACCGATCGACCCGGAAGAGACTGCGAGGAGCGACCCACCGTAGGTCAGTTACATCTGAAACTGTCACTTTCAAAGCTTCTGGCACCTCATACTGTTTGTTGTAACCGTTGTTCCTCAACAGCCACGACTTGATTGTGTGACCTGGCGGGTGTACATTCAGAATTAATTAATTGATTACAGAAACACACTGGAAGTCCTCCCACTATATTTTGAATTCTTACAAGTGTCTGAAAGGCTTGGGTTCCCATACAAGCCGGCTGATAATAATTATAGTTCATATGCAGCGTTAATTAGTTGTACTTGAACAATAGTTTATGACTCATATAAAATGTGGTGTGCGTTCATTCGTTAAGTATTATTATTGAAAACAGTTTTTGGTATACCCAAGGAAACTAATTCCCCAGAGAGGTGCAAAGTAAAAAGGGAAAAACATAATCTGAAGTCAGGTGTTTGTACTTTGGAATAATTTGCAGCAGTTTGGCAGCCAGCTGTCATGCCTCTCATTTTGAAGTCTCCTTTTAAGGGAGAAAAAAAAAACTAACAAGGACTGTTCAATAAAAGAGAGAGCTAAATGTGGAGGGTAATGAATTCCATGTCTCTGCCTGTTGGGTTTTCCAGACAGCAGGAGACTTTTAGATGTACCGAATTTGTATGAATGCTTATTTTGTTATAAAGTAACAGATACATTTTTCATCACGGCAAAAAGCTTTTAAAGAAATTAGTTTGACTTTATTTTTTTAAGGTTAAACTTTTTTAAAATACAATTTTTGACACGTGTGTGTGTGTGTGTGTGTAAATATATATGTATATATAGTGTGTGTATGTAAAAGAATCATATGTATTTCTCTAAAATAGGCTGTTGTCACATAAAAACCTTTTCTTTTTACTCTCTGAACCATCCTCAGAGGAAAAAAGGAGGAATGTGCTGCCACCAAGTCACCCTGGAGTCCTAATTGGGGTTAAAAACTAACTTTTGAACTGTGAAAACTCTGGTCTCCACCGCAGTGAAGAAGCAGGGCCAGAGCGGGATCATCTCCTGCTTGGCCTTCAGCCCCTGTCAGTCGGTGTACGCCTGCGGCTCCTACTCCCGCTGCGCCGGCCTCTACTCCTGTCAGGACGGCACCCTGCTGGCTCTGCTGCCGACCCGACACCACGGCGGCCTGACCCATCTGCTCTTCTCCCCCGACGGCAACTACCTGTACACCGGAGGGCGCAAGGTGAACACGCATCCACGGCTCAGAGTGGAAACATGACCTGAAGGGAAACGCAATGTTATTTTGAATGTTGGTGCCATTTGCAAGATTTGTGCAAGAGCTCAACGAGAAACATGACTCGGTGTGCTCTGACTCTTATTAGGCGTGAAGGCATTCCCGTAAAAATCAAAGGCTACATGATTCAGCATGTTTTACAGGTCTGCTACAGCCCAAACAATCTTTTTGTTTTTCACTTCCCCAGACAGTTTTCTGAATATTTGGACCGAGTGGGTAGATGACGTTGTGTTGCAAATGTTATTATTAACCATGAGGAGTTTGACAGATGGCTTTGTGCAGAGCCCAAAACAGCTGGCCTCCGTCTATAGACTCATTTAAGTTCTATGTACTGGGTCTGTGTCACACTGTTTAGTGTATATTTTCACATTGGATGTTTACATTTGGGTTCATACTGACATTTGATTTGACATTTCTCTATTGGGATAAATTTACTGCCAAAGCTTGAACAGATTGTAAATTTACAGCTTGATTAGAAACTAAATATTAAACTTTCTTTCTAACACTGTGATCTGATCAGACAGTCAGGTCAGTCAAACGTCCGCTGATGTGACAAACCACTGTGTGTGCACTCAGGATCCTGATATTCTGTGCTGGGACCTGAGGGATCCGGGGAAAGTTGTTTTTTCTCTCAAGAGGAATGTGGCCACGAACCAGCGCATCTACTTTGATCTGGACCAGTAAGTTCAGCCCTCTGACCATTGTTCATCTGGCCTTCTTCAGCTCACCGTTACTGTCTTTCTGTGTGTGCGTGCCCAGGTCAGGCAGGCACCTGCTGAGTGGAGACACAGAGGGAGTGGTGTCAGTGTGGGATGCTCAGGCTGCTCCTCCCGATGGTAATGAGGAGCTCCTCCAGCCTCAGCTCACATTCAAGGCCCACTGGGACTGCACCAATGGCATCAGGTACAAGTTCCTCACCGTTTGATACCCAAAAAGATAAGTAAAAACAGAAACGGCTCTGACCTTTGCTGCTAAGCGGGCGTTCGGTTTTAGATGAGATGTCACCGACTGTCTCTGATTGCCTCCAGGTTTATTAAGTACCACCTACATTTTATGAACATGACGGAGCGTAAAAGTGAAGGGTTTTGGTACTGATGACTATCTCCATGCTGAGAGACTGTATCTTGCTTAAGTAAGAAGTGATCAACAGAAAATCAGCTCTGAATATAGGAAAGAAAACAGTTGCCTAATTTAGTTAATCCACTTCTGCTCAGTGTTGCTGTTGTGCTGGCTAATTGCCGCGTGTTTATACTTCAGCCATTTTTCAATAAGAGAACAGCTCCTGATATCAGGATTTATAGCTCAGTGGATCTCATTACTGCTTCATCAGGAAAACTGAAGGCTGCATCCATTAAAATAACTGAAGTATGTCCTGAAATAACCGTTGCTAAGCAGCGCTTTACTTCACATAAGTGGCTCAGCCACTGTGGAAAAGGTGTTAAACTTAAGTCAAATCCGATGATTCATAAAACATGCTGGTAGTTTGCAGTAATTACAAATTACTGCGGAATGAAAAACTAAATTTGTCCCTCGCTTTCTCCCCTTCTTCAGTATTCATCCTTTCATGCCTCTGCTGGCCACGTCCAGCGGGCAGCGGCAGTTTCCCTGGCCCGGCGACAGCGAGGGCGACTCGGCCTCCGACACTGAGGGCGCTGAAGCCGTGATGTCACAGCCGGAGGTCCAGCACGACAACGCCTTGAGCCTGTGGTGGGCCGGACCGCTCGGCCCCCCCGCTGAGGAGAGCCAGAACCAGAGCTCAGCAGTGCTGGAGGCCTGAGGCCCACACAAATTCACTTACACTGGACACGTGGCTTCTGTTTAGGGGATGTTTGCCAACAGCTGAAAACTGGTCCGTCTTAATGTTTTTGTTGCCATATATGTGGCGGGGGAAATCATTTTTAAACAGCCGGTTTAGAGTCCTGATCCTAGATGACGTGTTACTTTACCATAGATACACAGAGTGCTCTGCATTATAGGAAAGCAGCCTTATAAACGGGGCTCAGAACAATCCGGGCCATTAGAAGGCTGTTTAAGTCTCATGAAGCTGTGTTTACGTTTATTTTCATTTTAATTCCATGATCTGCCTCTTTTGATTTCACAAGTGTGTAGTGAAAGCCCGGGACTGTGTTGTGAAGCAGCTTAGTGTCTTATCTTCTGATCTGAGCTGTAACCGTGGGAGTGTTTGTGTGTGTTTGGCTGTAATGCTGCCCTGGAGATTCCTCTCTGCTATAGTAACAGTAAGTGCCATTTGTTCTCGAGCTTTGCTTTTGTAAACTGAGGGGATCTCCTGTTTTTTAACTGTGTCTTTTAAAGTAACTGATGCACCAAGTTTTGTCGCCTTGTGCATGCCCACAGATATGTCTATTTTTGTAAAGCCATAATGATTCTTTGAATGTATTCTCTCCAAGCAGCTAGCTTAACCCTACATCAGTAATCTTTGGAAATATTTGCTTTGTAGGTGTACATGGTGAACGAAAAGAATTCATTTTTTTTCTAAAAGTTTTGCTCAGATTACATTAGTGTTTTTGAGTGAGAGGTGGCACAGCAGCACAAAACACATCTTGTTAGAATAACTGAACGTGTTTTTTTTTTCTCTCTTCCACAACACTTTTGCTGCTGATAGCAGGTTAGCTTTGCTGACAGGCGTATTTGCAGGTTTGTTAGATTCTCTTCACGCTCCGGTGAAAGCTGGGTTTCTTTAGACATTGAGAAACAAATCCTTTTTTTTAAACCGTCTGCAGAGTCAGGTTTCACTTCTTGGCAACAAACGTGTTGCCAAACAATACTTCAAGAATTTCTGCCTACCAGTATGCCACGTAGCCCCTAAGATGCCAAATAAGTCTCCAGATTAATATCTCTGTCTACAATCGGTTGTTTTCTTTTTTCTTTTTGTCTGAAGCTGGAGTGGATTAAAATCATATCTCCTTACAGATTCTTTGACTTTTTTCGGAGCTTTGTTAAAGGCACTTTAAAGCAGCGTGATGAATGTGAGATTATATTACTCCTTATTCAAGAGGCAGCCCTAAAAGTCTGGAGGGACTTTGTCTTATGAGGTGGAAACTATTCATAGGCTTCACCTTTCCCCACACACAGATAATGTATGAATGCGCTCACACTCGTATTTGATTGTCTGAAACCAGGGGGGACACGTCGAGCAGGGAGCCAAGTTGGAGAGCAGCTCTGCCGTGTTGTGCAGGTTGCCTGGCAACCATCTCCACCTTGAGAGCTAAGTATATAGAGAGACGAAAAGACAGAATATTGGAGGCGCACAAAGAGAAAAATGCCAAACAAGTGGGATAAATAATCCAGTGGTGTAATGATTGCTGCCTCTTTGATGTTCTGGACCCGCACACTTTGAGCTCTACAAGGGGGCTGAATCAATTCACTCTGCACAGGTTCCTCTGGCTTTGTTTGGTTCTGAGCTGTGGGAGCTCCAGTGATTGGGCTTTTCTATGCCAACAAAACCGAACAGAATCACGTTCAGTCACATCATCTCATTGGAAAAGTGGAATCGGAAGCGTTATTCTAGTCGGCTGTTTAAAAGCAGATGTATTCAGTTTTTAAAGCAGTGATATGGAACACAAATGTTGAGGAAAAAACGTTTTGAGATTGGCTAATATAGGGATTTTTAAAGCAAATGAGCTGCGCTCCAAAGACGGCGTGCAACTCTGAAAGTGGAAGTGAGATGAAGTTGACTTTTTACCTAGTCTTTGTGAGTGTATTTTATTAATGACACAATTCTGTGATCATTTGTTTTACATAAAAAGTTTAAATTCTGTAGTCTAAACTTTTAATTGGTTACATTTACATAGTAAAGCATCATAGACTGTTTGAGGAGATATTATCACAAATTATTACAGAATCCAAGTGACATCTTCCAATTTAAAGCAGTACTCACCTATTTTGGTAGCTTTATAATGTCAGTGTCTAGATAGTATATTTATTATACATTTCACATACCTTTGCAGCATGGCTAATGATGACACATGGGTAAGTTGTAAAAATGGATTTGAGTTAAAAAAAAAAAAAAGCTTTTGTATGAATGCCTCCACATTTAGCTTGGAAACTGTTGTGAATTCAGAGGATATAAGTTCTTACTTGCAACCCCAGTAGAAATCTTGCTCTTCCAGTTGAGCTCAAAACATACATGGCATTTTAATGTTTAAGCTCCCTTTTGTTCACTTTTTCATTATTCAGGTCAGAGGTTTTGCTTATTGCTCAACAGACCTCAAAGAACATGTAGGAACAGGTCTTTCTCTAGAACAGACAACCTGAAAGCTGCTGATCAGTCCCACCGCTGCTACGTTCACCATGTCAGTTTTACAGGGTCATTTGTTGCAATCTCCTCAGCTTTAGTGCTGATTAAATTAACCTTTTGTGCATATATGGGGGGTAGATATATGGTAGCATTATGAAATATAATATTTGAAACTAATTTTAGTAAATAAAGCATTCCTTGTACATGAGAGATATGCTCTGATTAAATTTCGGGGCATGCATGGAGCCGGTGCGTTCCAGCCACAGTGTAATAATACCATATTTATGACCGGCTGTAAATCTGATTACATTTCTTTATCCTCCATTCACCATGAAGTTAGTTCTTCTGATTTAGATTATACTCTCAAGGACTTTTTCAGCGACACTTCCACAATTGGTGGAATGCCAAACCTTCATGCTCAACTGAGGTTTCCCTCTTAACACTCCCCTACCTACAGCTGCACGCCTTAAATGCTGATTATAATATTAAGTGCAGTTTTCAGGTATTGAGTTCTATTACTGAATTATTCTTCTGATGCATTTGCACCTAACAAGGCAGGAATACTTGAGACAACACTGAAGAATGCTCATCTTTAATTAAATTCCTAATAAATGTTTACAGAATGCCGCTGTGCTTCTTGCAGCCGAGCCTCGCTGTCACACAGATGACACTGAAGCCGTTATCTTCATCCCAAGGTGCCTGTGCAGTCTTTCTGCTTGTGCTCCTAATAAGCCAATCCCCACCAAGTGTTCTGTGTTTGTGTTCCGAGTTTCCATTTACGCCACAACTTGAGTGAGTCTGCGTGGCCTTGCATAAGTGCCTTCCATTAGGCTGGCACACGCGCAAATTCAAGAGTTACGACACCTATCCCCAGGGAGTGCGCAGAATATCAAGTAATGGGATCTTGATATTAAGAAAGATATTTAAGAACAATTATTTAAATGTCTAGCTGCCTGTTGAATCCTCAAAGCGCTGAGGCAAACACTCAGCAGTGTGACCCCAGCTGAATTAGCGGGAAGGAAAAGGGAGCACTCGGCTCTGAAGCCAGAGCTGCTAAAATGTCTTGACTGCTCTCTGGTTTGTCACTCTCATGGTGCCTTTGAAAGCAAAAGGCTTTTTAAAACATGAAGCAGGAGGAACAGGCTTCTTGTAGCTTTTAGAGGTTGTCATACATGGCATTTCTCAAAATGTCAGAGGGGGTAGGCTCCTTTATCTCTGCGAGACTTTGAATGCGTTTGGCAGGCGCTTAGCACAAGGCTTCACTCTGACCCAGCTTTGACATGCCAGAGGAGGAGAGTTGTTACATCCACTTTCCTTCAGTCAATACATTATGTGCTGCCTATCCAGAGCAGCCACTTTATTTGGTGTGCTGCTCAATCTGCAGCTCAGACACTTAGAATTTAGAAAGTATTTAGGCATGTGCTGACCAGATCAATTTGATTTGGGGCTGTCCAAACACAGCCTGAAAGTCCCACCAGGAAAACCGAATGGCCGGTGATGTGACCTCACTGAAGCCTTTTGTCATATTTTCCATCTGATTTCTGAATACTGATGAGGGATTTTCTAATGTTAGCTCTTTTGCTGAAAAAGTGTGCGCTCAGGAAGACAGTTATTGGTGGTCCAAAACTAACAGGATGTAAACGCAAGAGTACTTGACGGTTTGTCTATTTGCATTATCCCTGTGATCAGCACGACAGCTGGGTTAAGATCCAGCCCTCCTGACCCCAAAGGGATAAAGTGGGTTAGGATAAATGGATTTTACATGCAGTGGAGGAAATAAAAGTAGCATTAGGATGGGATGCTGCAGAGAGTATTAACCCTGTACGAGCCTTTGTAGTGATATTTGAGTCAAGTCTAATACACGCGCACACACACACACACACACACACACACACATATATTTATGTGTATATATATATATATATATATATATTCTGGAAATTGTACTGATGATTTTGGTACGAATGTTGGTGACACTTCCGTGAACACTCATGCATACTGAGATGTATCGTGACAGCTTTGTGTAATTCAGCTCTTTGCTTGAGTTTTAAACTGCCAAAATGTAAATGATATATGACTTCTTCTATTAGCACCAGTTAGAACAGCAGCTGAAACTCAAAATAACAAATGTCCTCATGAACAGAATTCCAAGCTGAAACACCTTGCTGTTAACAGTCTGGAGCAGAGTATCATTTTAAAGTCGTTCTGCTCATTATGTGGACTGGTCTGAAGTCCTGATGATTTGAGGTGGGATTTTTATATTTCTTTTTTTTTATTTTTTATAAGTCCCTACCAACCCATTTCATCATTTGCCAAAATAGCTGCTTTCCTGTGAATATGTCCCATTTCCATTCCAAAGCCTGCAGCTGTGATTGACGTGTCCTTGTTCTCTGGTTCACATTAGATGTGAAAATAATTGGCACCTGCACTCCTGCACATGCTCTGAAGCCAGGAAAAAGCACAGCAGCAGAGGTTTAATTTCACCCTGGAGTATGATCTCGCTCTATTCACTCCAGATGTGGAGGCGCACACATGGTTATCTATCAGAAATAGCTTGGAAGATTAATGCAGACCAGGGATTGTTCGAATCATCATATTCTACAGATGCAGGCAAGTGGCGACGAGTGGCTCTGCATTGATATTTCTCTCACATAAATAAGCCCTCATACATACAGAATGTAAACTGTGCATGTGTGCGCCTGGGTCCCCTTGCCTCCTTCTCATCCTTTTCTCATCTTTTCATCCTCTCTCAATATCCTTTTCCTGCTCTACACACATTCCCTCTGGCGATTTCCGAAGCTAGTTATCCTGAGATAGAGCCTATTGAAGTACATTAAGAATCCAGTCTCCTAGCTGGCCCTGGCAGATTGGATGTGATCCTGCCGGTTTAGAGGGTGTGCAGTGCCCAGAGAGAGTAATTGCTTGCGTAATTGCACTCTGGGGAAAGGTAGAGCATTGGGCCTGTATTCATCCTCCTACCTGCCCTCAGGCTGCACGGACATCTCTCATCCCAACATGTATCCATTATCTACACCTTTTCATATCCACCCCCCCCCCCTCCTCCTCCTCTTGTTCCTTGCTCCACGGTGACTGAAGGTTGGGTGAGAGGGTGGAGCTCTGGGTTAGGTCAGAAGAGCTCTGCAAGACACTGAGGACACAGATAGAGGTGGAGATTAGGAGGAGTGAGGAGGTGTCAAACTGATAACCTGAGAGGGCCAGCAGAGGAGGAGAGATGGAAACACGCAGAGGATATGAAAGCCACAGACCAAGTGGGGGAAGGTGTGTTTGTGTGACTGAATTCTTGCTTCATGGGTTCTCAAATAGATAGTGGACATCCACTGAAGTAAGTCTTCTAGGCACATCCCTCTAAAAGGGCTCGCAGGTAGTGTTGTAAAGTACGGTTGTACTTTTCCGCATCATACAGAAGACACTGATATCAATGCAATCATCGCATTAGTTCTTGGTTTTGTTACTCCATCTGTACTAAACTGTCTGAAATGGGAAAAAAAAAATTCAAAGAAAGAATAGTGGATTCTTAAAAGCTTTTCCACAGAGACCCCGAATGTCAAACATCCACCGAAAATATGAGATTTTTCAGATTCCTACGAGGAGACCAAACTTGGCAGGGCCTCCGTTTGTCTCCATTCTTTTCCTGTGTTCCTGTGGGAAATGTAATGAGTCAAAGTTAAATTAATGTATTTTTTAAAATTAGAAACCCCTTTGTTTTGTCC